CGCTTGTACATATGCTCTAACGTTGTTGTGATTCTGTCGAACCCCAGGGATAGCAGGTCGTCCGGGTCGAACCGACCTGCGACCATGTTCGCTTCACGAAGCATGGTGACCAGCGCTGTGATCGCGTCCGTGACGGAGTGCAGCCGTGGCAGGGTCGACACCGGCCCAGTGAGTTGACCCAGCTGCCGGATCTCCAGGATCTTCGCGACGGGGTCGCTCACCAGGAACGCGTTCAGCTTGCGTTGGTGGTAGGCCCTCGTGACATCAGCGTCTGTCCATGACGCCAGTCCTGCCTTCTCGGGGCCTATCGACTTGGTGTTTCCGGGTGCCTTCATCCGGAACTTCGTCGGCTTGGATTGCGCGATCTTGTTTTGTTGTTTTTTGGGGACCTTAGCCTCTCGGTTTTCACCGTCGGCTGATGGTCCTCTGGATCATGATAGGCGTCATGACCCAAGGTGTCCTCAACGAGGACATAGGGAGGGTATTTAGGTTTTTCTTCAATGAATTCAACCTCGACCATGTTGACCGGGCCCCTCCCAAGGCCCGGTCGGTCCTTCGATCCTTTGTTTGTTTCTTCTTGAGTCACTGGCGATCGGTCTTCCCGTGACTCTTCGGTCTTGTGCTCCTTCTTGACATGAACATCTTTATCATCTTGGGACTCGCGGTGAAATCCCGCGTTTTCCGAAGATCCGGGCACGCGCACCATTGTGGTGGAGTGGGCTCTCAAAATTGTATGATGAGACCCCAAACCACTCACTGTGCCGGACTGCCGACTGTCGGAGGGGGTACCCCGATGCCGCGTATGAACCTTCTCTCACCTTGTGTACCCGTCGGCTGGCGGGTTCCAGACTTGGTGACGATGTAGATGTCTGCCTTGAGGGAGGTAGACCTGGGGGGCCTCGAGTGGATATGCTTCACTCGGTGGGCCGGTAGGTGGCCACTCGATCGACCTTGTCGAGAGTGGACTTAGAGCCAAATTCTTCAGGGGCGCTTGTCGTCCCTGGCCTTTTCCTTCTGTTTCAGGGATATTAATCACCTGACCTTTACGCTGCTCCCGGACCTTGAGGTGAGGGAGACCGCTTCCGATAGCGGGTCTTGGGGGGTGTTGCTACTCGAACGAGCTCACAGGCCAAATATATCCTGGAGCTCTATTCGCCCTTGAACTTCGCTACGCAGCTGTCTTCGACGGGGGGCCAAAATGTATCCCTTCCCGGAACAGTGAGTAACTTAGAGCAAGTCCTTCTTGGGTGACGGAGTCGTGCCACATAGATCGCAAATTGAGTAGTATTAAATATAGTCCTATCCTTTTAACTCCTTTACTCTATCCTTGCCTGAAGCTCTGATTCCTTGCGTCGACTGGTCTGATCCTTGTATTAACTGGTCCGGAGTCGCTGAACCCCGAGGGGCCGAGGTCGACCAATGAGGGACCGGGTCGACCAATGAGGGACCCAGGTCAACCAATGAGGGACCCAGGTCAACCAACGAGGGACCGGGTCGACCGATGAGGGACCGGGTCGACCAACGAGGGACTGGGTCGACCGACGAGGGACCAGGTCGACCAATGAGGGACCCAGGTCTACCAATGAGGGACTGGGTCGACCAACGAGGGACCCAGGTCGACCGATGAGGGACCCGGGTTTACCAACGAGGGGCCAGGTCGATCAATGAGCGGCCATGATCAACTCCCTTTGGTACCGGTTAACCGGTACCCTGATACTGATTTTTCTTCGTCGAATCCTGCGGATTGTCCTCCACCAACGGTCGCTCCCCTTTGAGGCCCCTGTCTCTCTGGTCCCCTGTCCCTGACCCACGGCCTATACTCTGAATCCAACTGGAGTCCGGGACCTCCATATCACAAAATTAGCACTTCACCACAAGCCCTAGGGCCCAGGCTTTGGCACGTCCTGCCAAGTCCGACATGGCGAACTTGACCTACATCGCATCGTCATCGATGCGACGAGTCTCAATGGAATCATCGAGTTTGACGAACCGTCTTAACAAGGAAGAGCTTTCGACTGCGTTGTACTTGGAGACATCAATCTTTAAGGACTCGGGTCGACGTATACACGTCGACCCGGCAGCAACAGCATTTGCCTGCTGTTTTCTCAATAGTTCAGACTGTTGAGCACTCTGCTGCATCAAAATTTAGCTTGCTGAGCGCCTTGTTATCTCAACAATGCTACTTGTTAAGCACATTGCTTCTCTAGCAAGGTGAGTTTCTTTACAACTTCGTCAAGTTCATGTTGTATAAACTCGGCGATGGTTGCATGTTGTTCATCTTCGCTAAGAGAGAGCAGCATAGCACTAACGGCAGGGTTGTCGATGGTTTCAGCCATACGCTTAACCGTTTTTCATTCGATATCACTCAAATGGCGGAAGTCATCATGCATTGCGTGATGAAGCTCTTCATCTGCTGGTTTCATAGCGGATGGTACGGTGGTCGTTGAACGGACCGCGAAGTGCTACCAGGTGTAATGGGGCAACCTCCGACTATACTGATAACAGTTTAGTCTAACTTCACTGATGGCAGTGAAAGCAGGTGCCTCAAACCTCACGTACACGGACGGAGACAGAGATAGCTATACAACTAAGTAATTCACTTAGTTGGAAGAGAAAAAAGAATTGTAGTGAATATAGTGAAAATGTATAATGAAAATTATCTGTAAGAACCTTGTCGTAGCTATAATAAAGTACAAATATGTATGCTACCTTCGTGTCCTCCATTCATTGCGCGCGTCCATCGGTCATTGGTCAGCGCCTTGGTTGATATAATGGCCTATATCAACCAATTAGAGGGCATCTGCAACTTCAAGGAGATGCGAGGACAATATAAAAGGAAATAAAGTAGTGTCAAATATTATTAGCTATAATAATATTCTTAATGACACTTTTTGTTAGTGTCAATATTATGTAGCGGGCTCACCCCGTGTCAAGGAGATGCAGGTATAATATTATTATTAGACAAAGGTACTATTGTCAAGTAGTATATGCTAATTTCTAATATTTTAATTGACACTTTATAAAAGTGTCAGTATTAATGGAACGGGGGTCACACTTCCCTTACACTTCTTGGCAGGCAGTATCCCCCTAACATGAGGTCAAACAATATACTGCAGAGTTTCGCTCAGTGACTAATAGAGGACTGCTCATTACAAAAGCAAAGTGATCCCTTTTTAAAAGTAGGGGCTAATGCATTGGCAAATTTTAGACCATTTAGAACAATGTCATGCCTCTGAAGTTGATTTTGTCACGTGCAAAAAGATTGCGCATGAAAACCTTCTTATCTTGCAACGAAAACTAGAGACAGACAGAAAACAACAACACCCTTTAGAATGTAGTTATCAATGCATCCTTTTCGCTTAATGCTTGATGTTTACCGTCTATTTCGTTTGGCATTGTCACCTATTGTTTACCATTCATTGTCAAACCGATACATGCTGTCGTACTGCATTGATATTAATTATACTGTCTACACTTTTGCCTCATGCTTTGGAACCAACCAATTCGTAACGGTGTTGTTGTTCGTTCTTCAGCTGTCGTTGCAATAGAAGACATTCTTCTGCTCTATCTTTTGTCTCTGTTGCTGTAGAAACAGCATGGTTGTTGAGGTGTTGTGGCTGGGATAGGGAAGACTGACGACTCTCTTGAGATTAGCTCGCTGGTTCGACTGTATTTCGCGTTTCTAGCAGCGTCAATCATTCTTCATCGTGCCCAGTTGTGTCCAATGTGGTTCCCAATTTCTTCGGTTGTGCTCGTCTTGTTGGCTGTCACGACGTCTGCGACCAATTTGGAACGACAAACCCATCAACAGCGCGGACTAAAAGAGGCAAGGGACATCTTCAGTAAGTCTTTGTCGTGTCAGTGCAAGTCCACATCCCGTCCGTGTCTTTTTATCCATGGAGAACTGAATGGTAACGAAGAGAAGGAGCTGCAACCCTCGTCCAAGTATTTTGGTGACATGACTAGCCACGCACCATGCTGTTCGTCGATCAAGTACGTTGCGCTCGATACGAACAGCCACGGTTGGACAAATGGAACTCTGCAGGAAACAGTCTGCAAACACGCTCTGTCAATGAGTAAGACAAGTGATGTAAAGGAAAAGACCATCAAGGACACGATTCTCGTGACCCATTCCATGGGCGCCTTGATCCTGGCAGGTGCTGTTGCCAACGAAAAGTGCAGCATTGAAACGACAAGCACGTCGTGGGTCAGCATGAGTGCACCTATGCTGGGCACAATGGTATCAAACGCTGCGCAGGATGTTTGCACGGACGACGGTTGGAGGCCTTTCCATGAGGTTTTGTCGCTTGTCGGTCGGTGCCCCGTTAACACTGGAATCAAGTCTCTCGCGTATATCGGTGGTAAATACAGCACCATTGCGCTCAACGAGGCGTACAAGAAAGCCCAGAAAGCTTACCGTGATAATGTACAGGGTGCTATGTGCAGCAATTCCAAGAAGGGGATACTTTCGACATACCAGGCCAAGTATCTGATGGTAGGCTCCTACATAGAACATGGTACGAGTGAGCATGATGGTTTCGTGACATTCGAAAGTTGTCGAGGTGGCTTTCCAGCAACGAAGTTTGATGACAAACCTACCTCAGCATTTTATGTGACCACGTGCAACCACGCCGATACAGCATTCCTTGCCGGGAACTCCTACTTCTCGGACGCCATGCAACCGGTGCAGTGGTTTGAGTGTCTTTTGTAAGTGGAAAGATAAAGTACTCGTACGGGGTAGTGAGAACCAATTCGTACAACTGATATCGTTATCCAATGTCTTGCATCTTGAATCCTTTGAGTTGAGGTCACAAACAGTAGCGAAACTGAACGCATTTGCAATCAAGCACGTCTGCGACCACAGTGGTCATCACAGTGGCAGCCCTGATCATTTACCAAGTCCAGACCATACTGCGTTGTTGCAGCAAAAAGAGAGAGTGAAGACCCTTATATCAATTCAAAGATTGCAACAATCTTCTTGTCTACCCACTTCACTTCTCTTACATGCGGTCATAGCCGACACTACCGTGTTCAAGCGCTACGAGAAGCTTCTCCTTGAGAGCAGCACTGGTTGGATAATCCGGGAGGATTAAACGACGGTCGCTACAACATCAGGCAGTAAATGTGAGGCATCTAATCAAAACCACGATTTCAAACGGCTACAGCGTAATCTCACCAAGTGTTAGCCGTAGGACAAAAGTTAGGTTGCGCTTGAGTGTCTACGTCAATGTACCAACTCGCAGTGTCCTATAAACAACATGGGACGTCGATATTAAGACCGAGAAAGACACACGATTGTCCATCAACAACGACTTACCGCACTCATGGAGCGATATTTTGAGTCGAAACCGAAAATTGGAGGCAATGGTGAACCGGACCAGAACGTTAGAAGCTTTGCGCGAGTTTCTTCATCAAAACTCTCGACGACTTCCCAAAAACGTTGCACAACACCGCATGTCGGGGATGCTCCCCGTGAATATGCCACATTTTTCTTCAGACTTTCAAAATCAATCAAGCGTTCGCCACGCACTAAGTGCCGTAGTTCCTGTGGGCGGAAAAGCTTGAGATCAGACCGGATGATTGTGTCATTGAAGCCGTCTCGCACCTTTTTGTAGTACACTAATTCGTTACCGAAGAAAAACTGCTGAGCACGCAGCATAACGTACTGTAACTTGTTGGCGTTTGTTACTTCCACGTTGCCCATTCCCTCTTGAAGCTCCATTTCCATACTCGTTGTGATAGGAAAGTTGGATGATGGTGGTGCAGCTCCGTCGGTCCCCTGCTTCATCTGCTTAGACCCTTTTGAGCACGCGTGTGCTTTATCGTCGACCACCACAACGTCGATTGTGTATTCAAACCGCATATCCAAAGGCTCTGCGTCAAAGTCATGATCCAGAACGAACTGAAGGCTGCGCTTGAGTACGTCACTGTTTTCACAGTAGCTTTCCCAAGTCAAAGAATCGTCTCGTAGCATGAATTTCCAAAAGACCAAGGGGAAGTCTGCATCAAGTGCCTGATGATTGCGAATTGCCAGGCCCATCAAGCGGCCGGTGCAAAGGTACACCCTTTGAAGCGCATCTACTTCACTTCGATCCACGAGTACATCGTTTTGAGTGAGACTCAGGTTCTTCTCACTGTGTTTTGTGTCAAAAACTTGCTTGCTGATATATGCCGTTCGCGGTGCAATGCAAAGTGCACCCTGTCTCTCTTTGCTGATATAATCAAACAATGGAAACAGCTCAGCAAATTCACCATTCTGTTCCTGTCTAAAAAGACTGTCGTTGCGTTTCTTACTCGGATTCTTGTCTTGTGGGTCCCGATGGAGCCGCTTTGAGCTAATGTCAACAACATGAGGTACTGTTTGGGCAGATAATGATCGCACTTGCGAATTTCCAGTCGACTCAGGACGAAAAAAGCAGTTTTGAACAATCTGGAAAAATTCACGCGTCACACCAACACCAATTCCTGGTTCGTTCACTAGCGTGATAGCCATTTCCCCTTTCAAACTGTTCAATGAGGCACTGAGAATTTGTAGCACGATGAAGTCGACGTAATTTGCTTCGGACGCACGACTAATAGATACCGGCACTGATCCATTGCGCTCCTCAGCCAGTATAGCCAAGTAATCCACTTTGTGCTCAAGACGGATGAGGTTCGGGATTGACGTAAGCGAGTACAAATCCATGCCAAGCACCTTGGGATCTGAACGGATCAGCGCATCCACGCTATTCTTTAGAGGCATTACTTTAGCGGCGAAGGTGGTTGGTATCGAAAATGAAGTAGCAATTGTACGCATAAGACGCGTTTGGTCTGCAGCAGGCGTCTTGGCACGTTTCTTTATTGCTTCTTGCTTGACGAATCGACTCACGATCTAAGAAAAGCAAACCACACGAAATTACTAGTTGACCAATATGTGTTAAATGAGCGGTGTTTATCACAAACTAACCTCAAACAGCTTTCTTAGCGCCGCGTTTTCATCAGAAAGAAAAGCCGCTTCCAGTTGCTCGACAACTTGCAAAATATGAAGTAGAAGCGAGAAACGCTGTGGTGTAGCGATCACGCCATCCAGACTCCCCAATGCAGCATTCACCAAATCCCAAAGCTGTTTGACTGGCTTAATTGCTCGCTGAAAACTATCAGCAATACCCATAGTAGTTGCTTTCTCTCCATCGTTAATCGACCGAGCGTACGGCGCAAAAAATTGGAGAAAGAGTTCAAAGAGCGAAATTAAAAGATAAAACTCGATTTCTTCATCGTAACTCTCCTCATCTTCGATGTTTGTACGATCGAAGATACAGAATGCAAGTTTTGTGCCTGTTATTATTCAAGCACAAAAACAATCACACAAGTTAGAGAGTAATGAGAATGTCAGCAAGCGATAACCTCGACATAATGTGAGCCAAACCTGAAGTATAGATCATTTTAGTGATACGCTCAAAGAACTGAATCTGACCGCATTCCTCCATAGCGGGACTTTCATTTGCAGCAAGAGGGGACCCACTGGCGAATGGAGCAAGCAGATGCATTAGGATAAGGGTCCATACCTTGATGCGTCTGGAAAGACTGCTGTTAGAGAGCATCCTGCTCACGATTAACTTGAAAGCATCGTGCGATAATTTGATCGGATGCTTGTCGTTCTCCGCTTCATGCGTTTTTTCTTCCTCATCACTTTGATTTGGTGCATTTAAATGAAGATCCTCAGCGTTTTTCTTGTCGAGAGCTTGATGCCACAATGACTGGTACTTCTTTGCATTTTTCACGGAAAGAGGGTAAACTAAAGCTACGGTGTGCATCAAACCATCCATATACACGGTTCTCTCTTCTTGCGAATCGGACATCCGAGCGATCTACGCAACAAAAAACCCACCTTAATCATTTGATCAAGCGCCCGCATTATGAAAAAACCTCGACATTACGTACCTCATTCACTATCGAAACGATGCCCAGTTCCGCCAGCACGAGAGCCTTTATATAGAGTCCTCGAATGCTTTCATCTTGCTTACGCGAAAAGATGGCGCCAACTCCTGCTTTCGCAACAACACTGCCAGTCACCAATCTTGTATGCATATCAACGACCAAAATGTAATTTCTACCTAACTTCCTGGCCAGTTCTATCACCGTTTGCGTCACATGGAACACTTCGACAGCTCGATCCGGACGTGATCGAGTCAATAGTTGTTTATCTGTCCCATCAACACCCATATCACGTGTCAATCAGTCTCACAACCTCGTTGCACTGAAACTAGCTTCAGCTCACCAGCTTGACTCGGTTCACTCTGCAAAGCCTCTTGTTTTTCTTCCACTTTTTCTTTTTTCTGGCGCCTCTGTCGTTGATGTCTTCGTCCCCTGTTTTTTCTTCTTTCACGACCAATATCACCTTCCGGTCGTGGTAGCTCACAGAATCGAAACGATCTCGCCTGAAACGCGTTCATTTCTAGCACACGAAAAACCGAGTGTCCATTGGCATTCCGAGCGTTAAAATCCACAGTTCCTTCATCTCTCAACAGATGCAATGCTTTCCAATTGCTCAATCCAGCAGCCACATGCAACACTGTATTTACTTGATCAGCTTTTGCAGTCAAAAGAGTTTCCAGTTGTCCATGTTTCTTGGCATAAAGTACTAATTGCTGCAAAATCTGCACTGCCATATCATTTTGTTCATCTGTGTATCCATTAGCAACACAAAAAAGTAGACACAATGTAGCTGCATTCATATTTCCATAGGTTTGCAACAAATTCACCGGACTTTGAGACGAAACCAGTAACAAATTCACTATTTTCAAGTCAAGTGCCATACAAGCAGCTATGATTGGAGTAAGACCACTCGAATTATCATGAGTCTTTGGAGTCATGACATTGACATCAGCATTAACGTGAACTAGTAGAAATGTAGCCATTTCAAATCGTCCATAGCGACATGTTTCAATTAATGGTACATGACCTTCCAGTGATGGGTAATTTACATTTAACGGTGGAATTGTATCAAGTAGTGAATAAAAGGTGGAGAGATCATTGCCATGAATTGCAGTCACAAGCTGCGCGGTGGTAGGAGAAGGAGGAGGAAGAGTAGCCATCTTGGCAGGATTAGTACTGATTTAGAGTATGAATGACAAGTTGAGTTGGTTTTTATAGTTGTTTTTACTTGGCCTGTTGAAGCACGTTTTAGCGTTTTTACGAAAAATAACAACAATCGCTGTCATTTCGGTAAAAAAAACTTGTTTTAATGGCCTTTTCTAGCTATGGTACTCTCGTGTTTGCCCATGAGGCCCATAATCTGGAATTTCATGCTTTGACCTCCACATATTATCAAATGCTGATTCGGATGAGCAGCCACTGTAGTTATGATATCATTCATGGGAATTTGAAATCGATCGAGCCGTTCAACTGTCGGTACTTTGCCATAAATTCCAGAATGTGCCACTCGAAATTTATCTGCGTCACTCGTTTCGTCAATGGTGGTAGTAAATGCCGTGATATGTTGCAGTTGATGGAGATCAATCATTGTCAAACTTGTGGTATCATGGATTCCAGTGCACAGGATTGACTTGTCAAGCAAAAAGGTACCCGTGCAACGATGACAAGATAGCCACGAGTTACGACGGAAAAAGTCCCGCTGGTATTCACTTTCTGAACCCATTGACAACACCGATGGAGATGCATCCGACTTGAGTTTATCTCGTGGCAATACTTCTGTATAGATTGGAATACGATTTCAAAAAATAGCTGTGTGTTAAATCTCTCAGACGACCATTCAGGGTTCTGACCTCATGCACAACTACATACCTCGAACGAACGTGTGCAGCTTCATGACCGTGCCACGAAGATAATCAATGACTACTACCCAATCATTGCGCAACTGGCACAATACTTGTGTTTCGGACTCTGGTATAAGACACAGTGACATGATTCCAGAGGATCTGTATCGACTTGTGAGAAGTACAGTCTCGATTAAAGCAGGCGATAGATATGCTGGTCGAGGCAGGTAAGACAATCGTCAGTTTGTGCCATTGACTTTGCAGCAACTAACACTGAATACGACATGACTGTACTCACGTTTGATTGCTTCCATTATGTTGACCACTGCTTTTTGCTGCGGTACAGGCTTTGAGCCAAACGCAGGAACAATTTTGTGCTGAATATCGTACGTCTACAAGAGAGGAATCAACACATTAGCAGTCAGATATGTAATCATGTGCGCTTGCACAAACCGTGCTTGTTTCGTACCATGACTATTCCAGCTTCATTGCCACAGATGAGGAATTGCTTGTTAGGTGACAGCACCAATGAGTTTATCGGCGTTTTCAGTGATCCTGTGAGAAAGCTATACACAGGCTGTAAAGGGATATCGAAGATCCCACATACGAATAGCTCCATCTATATCTCCAGCAACCACGTGAACCACTTTTGACTGTGAGTTGGGCATTGTCTTTTCAGTCGCAGTCAGATATACTAAGTCGTTGTAGCCTTTGGACGGGTGATTGGAACTCTTCAAAACTTTATGCGGTTTGCTCGGAAATTTGCCCAGGTTGTAGATATGAATTTCGTTGCGATTCGTAAACGAGCACGCGATCTCATCCTGGTCACCAGTTCATATGCACATTGTTGGCAGGATATTTTCATCTCCAGACCGACAAAATAAGCTCTTGCTTACCTCATCCAAAGGATTCCAGCGAATGCACTTTACTTCATACGAAGTAAAGATCATATGGATCTGCAATGCATTTGCCGTCAATGAGAAGTGTACAATCAACTTCAGTTACTTAGCTACAAGAAGGACGTACCGGATGCAATATCTCATCTGTCATCTTCGGTTCCTGTTGCTCTTTATCTCCCTCTTCATCATCTTTTGCTTCGCTATTTTGCAGCAACCGTTGTCCGAGATTTAAACTCCGATGGAAAACATCATCAAAGTCATAGAGAGCAATGATCCCGTTGGACGCTCCTGCAACTAGCAAAACTCCTCCAGCATCAAACGCCATACAACTGGCATAAAAGAGTTCCGAGCACATCACTCCTGCCTGTCGATACCAATGAGGAACCAACTGCAGCTCCATTGGCAACTTCTGAAAGTTTGTAAGTGTCCAGCGGATCAATTGTTGTTTCCTGCGACGTCGAAAGGTCTGAAGTCCACCACTTAAGTGACGCGTCGTAGCGCATCCGACAAACTCTCGATACTGTAGAATTCCTAGTAGATCTTCACGATGCACCCTTGTAATTCGCTTAACAATGACTTGATTTTGCATCTCTTCTTCGTCTTCAACAGCTTCCACTGCGTCATTACTGCATTCCTGGATACTGCTGTTCATAGCATCATTGTAGCTGCCATTGCTGCTGTCAATAGACTCGATACTGATACGTCGGACCTGTTTGCGCTGGAAGAAAGCAGTGATCGGCGGCGTGGCCAGACGCTTCATTCCCAGACTCGACGTCTTTTTGACCAATAAAATAAGTTGGCGCCAAGAATTCGAACAGTTTAACTGCTACGAGGTATACAGTGTATACATACTTGTAGCTATTATATATACAGTAGTACGGTGACTCGAATGAAAGCTTCGTGACGATGGATAGATGATGGATTTGAATATACTATTGCATTGCCTTGTGTTCGATCTATTGTTACCATAATGTCTTTCAAAGGTACATCACTCGCTTGAATGAAAGGTTTTCGTAACCTCATTGTTAAAATTGCTTGACAGTCTTGACTCGTCCTCGTGCTGGTTGTTTTGAGAAAGTATCTTGATTACACTCTTGAACAATAATGCCGCTCAATCGATTCCAGCGTACTCTCTTTTCTAGGTACACACCAAATTGTTTGCAAGAGCAGTCTCGCTCGTCTGATACGTCAATGTTCATGAGGACACAAAGTTGTCGGTTATGGAACTCCACCCATCCCGAGTTTACCAGTCTTCGTTTCTTTGTCTGGACTGGTGGGAACCCTGGATTCACACTGACAACAGCCACAGATTCGGAAGGTGATGCCTCTTCACTTGGGATTGATGAAGATGCCGAGCTACGAGTGGATCGTGTCACGGCTTTGAAGGTCTGGGAGGCAGGAATTCGACCAGGTGATATTTTAGAGACCGTCGCAGACAAACGCGTACACGCTATGGACACTGAAGCGGCCTTAGTCTTGGTTCGAATGTCCAAGAGCCCATCGATCATTCGCTTTCGATCTTCAACAAGCGGGACACACGTCCGGTTTGATGTTGAACTTGGTCACCAGAAGCTAGGTGTGCTTTTCACAGGAGATGGAGGTCACGATATCCCCATTGTAACGCGAGTTGCTAGTCGACATAGCTTGCAAAGCTTCAAAAATCGTGATTCGGTCTCTTCTTCAGGAGCTCTTCTTGGTGATGTACTCGTAGCAGTCAACGGCAAAGATGCAGTCGCGGCTGGACTAAACATGACGACGAAATACTTGGAAACGTGTCCACGGCCAGTGAAACTTACTTTCCAGCGTTTGATAAACGATGACAACACCAATCGATGCTTTGATAGCCAAACCACAAGCGAACAATCTGGAGAGCACCAGCGAAGATCAGTTTATCAGCACGACACGGTTGTGACGTCTGGTATGACAGCCCGAGAAATTGCACGCTATCGCTGCAAGAACTTCTTCGGCGCAATAATGCCCAAAGGCGGTTACTCAGCTTCGCGACCCCTACAACGAGGAGCTAAGAATCGTACTAATTATCCTGAAAACCGTGACGACGTCGTGGTTGAATGGAAGAGCGGGCCTCTTGGGTTAACGCTTGTGGAAGACACCATATATGGAGCACCGGTCGTGAATCGTTTGACTGGAAAAGGTTCATCGGCCAATATGGAGCGTCTTCAACACGGATTCCAACTTCACTCGGTAAATGGTGTTACTACTGAAGGTCGATCGCTGGAAGGTCTGTGTCGTGATCTATTGACGTTACCAAAGCCCGTGAAGCTTGTCTTTCGTCCTACTCAGTCCGATGGTATCAGTGAGGAAGACAGCGAGTCTCGGCGTAAACTTAGTTCTGCATTGTCATCTTCATCAACTGCTCCAGTGATCTCGGCTGAAAGGGAAGTTGGGCTGAACGAACGGGCTCACCAAGAGTTGGTCACGGCATCAGAAGCGCAGGGTCATTGCTTCCGACAAGCACACTCGTTCCACGAGCAGTACGAATACGAGGTGGTATGGACTTCGAACCGTCTTGGACTGCAATTGGAGATAGCTGGACGCAAACCGGCAAAGAAGAACAAGACGGATAAAATGCCCACTCGACGTCAGTACCCGATCGTGCGCAAAGTTCTTAAGGAGTCCACGCTTGGTCTACCGAGTGACGCGGTAGGGCATCTTTTCGTGTCTATCAACAACTGGCAAACCTCCGGCTTGACTGTAGAAGAACTTCGTACCCTTCTAGGGGCTGCATCAAAACCTGCTCTACTACGCTTCCGAAGACAAGATGGTTTGCCACGTTTTCGGCAGACATTTTTGTCGAGTTCCTCGTACGCCACGGAAGAACGACCCATGGACAATGATGCAGCATTCGGCTCGACGTATAGCATCCTCTGGAGAGAAGGAAAACTTGGCATTGTTTTTGGCTGCTACGAAGATCCTCAGCGTCACAACACTCTTATGGTCTATGTGAAAAGCATTGGGCCAGGACAAGCTCAGAACTCCAGACTTGTTGCCGTCGGTGATATTCTAAGCAGCATCAACGGTCTAGGTCTTCCACCAAAGCAGAACTTTAAGAAGACGATGCAGTCGCTTGTCAATACCTCGCAGCCTATCACGCTCGGATTTCGTCGATGGTCGGTTGAGCGCTCTTCCGACTGGAATGAGCTTTCTTGAAGGATCTTGATCGATATGTGGACGAGATAACGAGACAAACATGGCACTTCAATCGCGTTTTTATATTGCTTCTGTCTTTATACTTCGAAGTCCTAGTCACTCGGACGCTTTCTCTTGCTCTCTTTGCTTGCCCACCCGCCTTTCGTCTTGGTATCATCATCACCGGGACGTGAATGCTTTCATACATAATGCATCAATAATAGAGTAGCACTTGTCGTCGTCAACGGGACTCGCGCTGCATCAAAGACTTGCTCGTCGTCACGATAGCGTCGTGTCAATCAAGCTGTACCGAGGAGGTAAATCAATGCAGTTCGCAGAGATTATTGCGAGTGCTTATCTCCTCAATATGACGCTAGCCACCCTTTGGAGCGATCCGGTCCATCGCATTTCAGTGGAAAAAGATCACATCTTCCTTCAGCTTTACCAAATCATTGTTACAGCGTGCCAACGTGTGCACCGCAGAGCTGTTACTCTTTATCTAGCCGCTGGGTCTCCAGGATCTCACCTTGAGAAATGGCATAGATATTGCTCACAGGTACAAACACCACCTCAGTCGTCGCATTCTCACGACCCTCTTGGTAAAATCCCAACAGGTTCATACTAACGTCAAATACCGGAAAGCCGATGGACGTTGCTGGAGTTTAGCTAGCAACGCTACAATAAGCCTTTAAGTACATGTAGATCAAAGAGTGCTGGATGACAGCATCCCGACAACGTTAACGCTTTATTGATCGTTTAAGTCACTTATTATCTACCGATACATTGGCAATCTACAAGTGTTCATTCATTCATCCACCATCGAAATCAGCAGCCACAGAAACGGCCACGGTACTTTTTCACCGGAGCTGATTTCGTATCATTCAACTGATAGCATTGAATACAAATAGCACGATCCCAACTCCATCCCATGCTCGCTAAGGGCTGATTTAGGCTATCGTCGAAACCTCTGTCGACATTACAATATACTTTATCTAGTACCGCTACCGAATGAGTAACAGATTGAAGGAGTAGAATTAATTGCAACCGCGGTACACGATGAAAAAGGAGACACTGCCAAGTCAATCAGCTGAGTATCACACTTTGTACTGCAACCAGTGGCACTGCCACCCGTCAGCGACGCAATTTCTTTGGATTATTCCTAGAACATTTCCTGATTCCAGAAATTTTCACGCGGCTGCTTCAAGGTCCCACTATTGACTAGTATAGTAAACGTAAGTCACAAGATTCTCCTTTTTTGACAGCAGACGAGTCAACTAATGTGGTAGTAATTCCTTGATTAAAATATACTTTTAAATTGAATACGACCATCTTGTAAGCTCGAGCCATCGTCTATGCACATGAATTCATTATTTACCACCTAAACTGTTCTCCAACATAGCATATGATAAATCATAGGCCTTGCCAGCACCTTTCCTTCGCTGCCGCGCACAAGCAAAAACGCTGCGCCGAAGTCGCGACGAAAGTTAACGAACTTTCACCAGAAACCAATCGAGTGACTAAAAGATCCGCCCACCAGCCAAGAGCTCCATTTGCCGATAGAAATAAAAGACGTTTTGTTGTCGATGCTAATGACTGAGACGTACACTTTGGCAGGTGCCACGATTTCTAACAATAACAATCTCATGGACGTTGACGCTGACGTTATAAATGAGCGATTACGACTAAAAATTCGACCAAGTCCACCTCAGTTTCCATACCGAGATGATCCATTTGAACTCACTGTGTACCTTGTAGATCCATCTGATCACCTTAAATCGGATGTGACGGTGCCACTGAACGTGGAACTTTACTCGGCTGAGAAGATGATGCCCGTGGAGAAGGACATTCTACACATTGATCCAAGTACAAAGCCCATTATGAATGGGGACGGAATCTGTAAACTTCGTATGAGCATCAGTGAGTGTTCAATGGCACTCGGGAACCGGAAATTTGTGCTTCATATCTCGGCTGCGACGACCAAAGAGACTGTGAATTTAAACGTCACACCAGCTGTGACATCCGAGATGACAGTGATTCAGCATCGTTTACTTGTTCAAGAGAAGCTACCTGAGCTCTGGTATAAGGATGAGGGCGGCCGTGACAAGTGTATGACGCTGCCCATTTACCTTGTGAATGCCAAGAACGAACGTGTGGGCAATCGCCCCGTGCCGCTACGTGTGACGCTGCTGTATGAAAACGAGCACCCAGTGCTGAAGCAGGACATCCTCAAAATGTCACCAGACTGCCAGCGGACTATTGACTTGACGGGCAAGGCAGTGCTCAAGTTACGTATCGAGGACGTGTCGAAGAACCATCAGGGCCAAGCTTTTCGTCTCAAGATCGAGGCTGACACAGCACAGTCGCCGCTTAACTTTGACGTGGCATACGACCTCAGCTCGTCCATCTCTGTGCGCTCGAAGCGCAACAAGCGCCGACTGGGCAAGAGTGTTCCGACGCAGATCACACACCACATCACCAATGGTGGATCTACACCGATGTCAACGTCGTCATCGCCAGCTTCGAACGCAGAAAATGAGATGATGCTGGCCAGCGCTTTTGGCACTGCCGCGTTTACAGCAGATGATCGCCGCAAACGGATGCGCACCGGAGGTGGCGCGTCCCCTGTTACTCCGCGTGTAGGCGGTAGTCCTCAGTCCAGTAATTCGCTGACTGGTGCGATGGAAAGCATTTTAACTTGGACTGGCGGGGTCGTGAACGGACTCCACCAGTTGGAATGGCAAACGGTGGGCTATGAAAGCAAGAGTGACGGCAGGGCCGACCCGGAACGACCTATATACCGCTGCCCAGCATGCTGGCGCTACAAAGATGTCATGACATACGAAACAGCCCAGCACGATACAAAATGTTTGATTGCCAATCTTTTGCTCACGTATGCCACGGATACAATGGGGCACCTTGACTTTGTGCTCAAGGGCATTGAGCGATTTCCAGCGATGATCGCCAGCGCGCAGGCTGCCGCACAAAAAGCAGCAGTGAAACCGATGGGGCAAATGTCAAACCAAAATACTGGTGGACCGTCACTTATAAGCCCACATAATGGTGGCATGCTGGATGTGAATCCGTTGGTCGACGATACATCCTCGAACCAGCAAATGATGAGTTCGTCTATGATGATGAACTCTACGATGGGACCTAGCGCATCTGGAAACCAGTTTTCTATGGGCAACAGCTCGTCTGGAATGGCTACAACGACTTCAGGTGCTATGAGTGGTCTGACTGGAATGGAGGGTCCTCCTGGTTTGTTCCGCAACAACTCGGGTGGGCTTACAGAATTTATGCGCTCGCTGGATGACCAAGACTCAAGCGACCCGATGTTTTATCAGAACCTCGCTGGCAATGCAAGCAACAACAACCAGATCGCCGATGCGATTGAGATGCAAGTGTTTTACGTAGTTGCACGCATGATCACGCTAAATGCCAGCAACGCCATCGGCTTTCCGGCCTTTGACGTTAGTATGAACCTGTTGGGATTTTACCAAGAGGGTCGTGAGAATGCGACGACTGAGGTGGTGTTTGTACCTGTGAGCAATATCTCTGCCATTTCTCAAGGCGAGATCCTGGAGACCCAGCGGCTGCTGCAGGCGGAGATGAAGAGCAACAGCTCTGCGGTGCACACGTTGGCGCGCTGTAACAATGATTTGGTAAAGCTGAAGGAAGATGTGATCCTTTTCCATTGGAACGCGAAGGACCGGATTGCTCCAAAGTGGTAGGCAGCACGGGCACGTCCTGCTGAATGCTAGTTTGAAACATATCAGTGGATACGGGTACGAGTAAGGGGATGAGCACACGGCAAGAATCTCTGCAAACTATCTCTTCAGTGCAGCTCGGTCAATGGAAGGGGCCATGCGACTACTCGAGTTGACGGCGGTAACTGCTGCTGTTTGATTGACGCATGCTGAATGGAAGCAATCACGTTGTGATGATGATTCCAGAGAGAGAGAGAGAAAGCGTCTAAATGAATAATACTTCGAAGTATAAAGACAGAAGCAATATAAACGCGATTAAAATGCCACGGTGCCATGTCTATCTCGTCATCTCGTCCACATGTCAAACGCAGGAACTCTGTAGCCATTCGTGTTGTAGGAAATGGCTACACACATACATAAAAACGTCATGCAAATTATCTGAGACGTGTGGTGTAAAAGGCGTCACTTTTGAAAATGTCAAGTCGTGAAAAGAGCAAGAAAGGTGCCAGGGAATTGCTGGCACTTTGCGCCAAAGAGGGTGTTAAGATCCCAACGGTGTGTTGTATGAATCATCTAGAGTTGTGGTTGTTTTATCTCGTATTGACAATACTGATTACAATTGAATTGCCTCTGACTTTCAGGACCCTGTTAATGCCGCTGTCGAAGCTGGTACGATGCTTAACGCCACACGCGAAGAGGTAAAGCAAGTAAAAGTAACAGCAAAGAGGGATACAATTGAATGATGATGTTTGATACGTTACGTGAATTGTTATATAGGGTGAGTTTCAATTGGATGCAGCCCTGAAGGTGAGTCCTAGCTACAGCTCTTTTCCTTATTGATGAACTAAAACTTTATGCTCATGCTCATGCTCATGCTCATGCTCATGCTCATGCTCATGCTCATGCTCATGCTCATGCTCATGCTCATGCTCATGCTCATGCTCATGCTCATGCTCATGCTCATGCTCATGCTCATGCTCATGCTCATGCTCATGCTCATGCTCATGCTCTCTCTCTCTCTCTATCTATGTCTTGTAACGATGCAAGGAAATGATCATAAAGTTTGGTGTCAAGAAGTTGCCATCTCCCAAGAAGAAGAAGAAGACGAAGGAGAGCAAAGATGACGTCAAGACAGAGAGAAAAACAGGCAGGAAACGTACAAGCGACCACATGATAGACAAAAAACAAGAAGACATGGACGACGATGAAACAAAGAGCAAGAAACCTCGAAAAATGGCTGAAGCTACATGCAAAGCCAATCAGACTCTTGCCGATGCTTTTGTCGAGCTCTCGGGTTTTGAATTCAAGCGTGGGGAGAAATTTAAAGGTGGTACTTGGGCCAAAGTAGCCAAAGCAATTCGTGACTGCGACTTTATTCTTACATGTGGTAAAGATGCTTTACAACTCAAAGGTGTTGGGAAATCATCCGCTGCTAAGATTGATGAGTTTCTTGAGACAGGGACACTCAAGACACTTGAAGAGTATCGAGCAGGTAACATGTAACCCAGTGTAACCTTCTGGGGTGGAGGAGGGTACCCTAGTACGTACCCTAACGGGTACACATGAGTCATTTCGACTTAAAAAAAACATCAACGTCCGTCGGATCTTCTTTGCCTTATTTGGAGCCTGCATACGTCTCTTTTCCACCGTCTTCTCTACAAGTTAATAACGTTGTCTTGATACAGACCTTTTTACAGTGACCGTGCACCTTTTTTCATTTGAAATTTCCAACAAAAAAGCCAAGAAAAAGAAGAAGAAAAACGAGAGAAAGAGAGACACTTTTGACCGTCATTTTCTAACTGCCAGAGCAAAGACAAAGGTCTCTTTTTGTCGCCATTGAAAGAACGACATTAAACGATGCAACGTGAACAAGTGACAAAGTCCAAGAAGCAATTACAAAAGTGTCCTCAAGGCACTGAAAGACTTAAACATTTGCCTCGCTCTTGTTCTTCTACAAGTACAAAGCAGCCATTGAGTTCATTCTCAAGTGATCAAGACAGGCCGTTCATGTATCACCAATTTCGTCCATCGGGAAATGGTTATCGTCCTAATTTCAAGACAAGTTACAAAGCGAAAAAGACAAGACAATCACCTGCTCCATGTATGAAATTCTTATCGGGTTATGGCTGTTCGTACGGGGAAAAATGCCGCTTTTCACATGATCTTCGAGCTTTTTATCCCGTTTACTACGAGTAGGCAATGCAGTTTTTGTTTTCGTTCGGATTTGTTTGGAAATGGATTGAAAGTGTCAAGTTAACTGTGCTGGTTGTATGGACAATATATAGGTCTACGGGGTACGACGACTCGATTTGGCCAGCTGTCTATGCTATGCCTCGTCAAAACTACACGCAGCGGCAGATGCCACGTGTGATGAAACCTTCTTTGTAAGTGGTGGTTTTATTGTTTCTTATGTTCTGCTATGACGTCTTATGTCTGTCGAGTAGGTGGCTTACTCGCTACCTACTAGATCGTGAGAAGTGTCATTTATGGACACTGTCTAATTGGTTTTACTGCTGCTTTATCTTGTATAGAATGCCTGTAAAAGATGTAGCTCACCACTCGTCAATGTCTCGTCCATCACCCCAACGCGAGCGAGCATCCTCGTTCACAAACCATTTCAAGTCTCATGATAACCAGGTTGATAACGTTCCTGTGTCAGCAAGTGGAAAGCTATTGTATAAGGAAGCTGTCCTCAAGCAAAGCAAGGTAAAGCAATCGGAGCGTACGCGCTACGACGCAACATCACATAAAAGCAGTGGAGAAGACGAATATGGTGACGAAAGCTGTCCGTCTAATGAAAATGTGGCGACGCATGAAACAGAGTCTGTTGACACGACACGGCAGCATCAACGACGCAAAAAGAATATGTACTTGCGCAAGTGCGGGGTGCTAAACAACTCTGCCGATGGCGGTTCAACGGAGTTTTATCGCAATCCGAACTATTTATTTCGAGAAGTCGAGGGTGGTAACCTCGCATACACATGTGCTCAGCAGCAGCCTCAACGCAAAGAACAGGAAGTTTATTTGCACCCTACTAGAGCAGCACAAGTGATGCATCCAATGAGTTCATCCTACGCGCGATACCTGTCAGAGGAACAATTTTACAGGTATGACAACGTGGTGGCTTCTGCTTTATTGTGCGATTTTAATTTTTTTTTGTATGTCAACGTTAGTCATCTCAGCAGGCAAGTGGAAGCTTTCGTTGATCACATTGACACAAAGCTGGCATTGATGAAAATGCATCAACAGCAGGCCATTGATTCATTACAAGAACTTGTGCGCGCCCTATGGCCTGATGCGTTAATTGATGTATACGGGTCAAACTATACGCACCTAGCGTTGCCGGCGAGCGACATCGATTGTGTACTAGTTTCAAAGTCGTTGACAGGAGATCGGCCTCTGACGATCTTGAAGGCTTTGTCGGTCGAAGTTGAGCGGCAGTCGTGGTCGAAGCAACTTAAGCTACTTGGAAATGCAAAAATTCCCGTTCTCAAGATGACAAATTCACTCGACTCGACACAACCAGATGTGCTACTGGACCTTACCTGCGGTCATTCTGTTGGTCACACTGGTTTGGATGCGCGTGACCTTATTTATTCGCTCCAAGCAGAGATGCCAGCGTTGCGTCCTCTTGTTTTAGTTTTGAAAAGTCATCTCGTTAGCAATCGTACGTGCTCGACTCCGGTTGCGTTGCTTGCAAACACTGACTTGTGTCTTGTAACTTGTCCCGATTGCAGAGCTGAACTGCGCGTTCACTGGAGGCATTTCGTCGTACGTTTTGGTCATTTTGGTGATTCGCTTTTTGCAGGTACATGGTAGCAGTGTCTGTATACAATGATGTCTTTGCCCGTACTCACTTGCTATACACCTGCTTTCTATAGGCATGTGGCGATACCCACCACAAGTCATTCACAGGCTCCAGTATTCGCAAGGTTTGGAATGGAAATCGAACAAGGAGCTACTCGGAAAATGGACCGGTGTGCGATTTACCAGAAGAGCTTGCCTACAATGCAAGCCTCAGTGACGCCGCCATGGTACATCCGAAGTGGTGCTACACATTTTCCCGTGGTGGACGTGTTACGTGGCGCACTGGTATTGGCAGCCTCCTGTTGCTTTTCTTGGAAACGTACATCACGTTCGATTATCGCCGATTTGGCATTTCCATCGACAACGAAGGGTTCGTTCAATGCAGCATCGAGTTATCTGAGTGTGCTTGATCTAACGATAAACGTGTGGTGTACGATTGCTGCTGTAGAGAATTTTTCCTGCTTCCGCCCGATAAAGTGGTCCCTATGCAATGCTCCGTTGTCATTCCGTACGTCGCGGATCCGATCAAACCTGGACGAAGCATTTGCAACTGCTTTCGCATGCACGAGGTGAGCTAACAATCTCTTGTACGTTTCTTATAAAGTTGGCGGCCTAACGGATGCGTTCTTGATAGGTGATTCAATCGTGGCTTGAATTGTATCAAAATCTGATAGCTGGAGTCCCAGTAACAACCTGTGTTGATGGACACTTAACCTCATGAAGCCGAGGAACTCATTTCGGATGATCTCAAAGAATGCTAGCAAGATGCAAGCGTGCAGAATTTGCTTACCAATCGACGAAAGCGAAGGAGGAAGTGCAAGCATATGTCCCTGTCCGGTGCCGCTACCCTTCATGCAGCAACTATTGACTCCTAGACCGTCGCTGCCACATTAGTTCGTCTACTATTCCCATTTAGCTCCACACCGTTGCGATTTTGGCGATGCCGATAGCTTCGTAGGATCCAGCGGTATCGAAGTCCACTATAACGTTGCATACGGAAACTCGACAGTTCTTCTTAATGCGAAAGGCATCACTTATTTTCCGTAGGAATTGCCTATTCGTGTACCACTAGGACACACTTGACAACGACCTACCGGTCTAAAAATCTAGGGGGCGCACGCTCATGAACTCGGAAACTAGATCGTCAGTGATGGCAGCACGGCGCTTTTGGAAGTCCAGCGTATACTCGGCCATGACGTCGATCAGTCTCTGCTTCACCTCGCCAGACATCATGCGTCCTGCGCCGTACTCGCGGCCAATGTGCTCAAGCTCTACGTCGTCCTCGAGCATGAATGACAGATACTGGTACGGAATATCGGCCTCCAAGTTGGCGCCGTATTTCTCATGGTCGGCCTTTGTCTCACCTCCGCCGCTGCAGAGAGTAAACAGACATTGTACAAGTAACATTAGTCTACGTCAACAGCACAAGGGACATAGGCATCTGAAACTCTTACCTGAAGGCGTATTTCTTGATCTTGTTGGCGATATCGTCCGGCGAGTCCGAGATGTAGATGGTAGTGCTCGCCTTGCTGGCGCTCATCTTTGTAGTGCTGCCTTGCAGAGCGGGAAAGAACTTGGAGTGCATAGAAGCAGGTTTGAGGTAGCCAATACGCGGGGCTACATCACGAGTCATACGAAAGTACGGATCTTGATCAATGGCGTGCGGGATGAGGCAACGCAGTCCCTTACGTCCACCAAGCACCACAGGAAATGTCTCTGAAAAAGACGGCACAGCCTGAATAGCAGGGAAGGCCGACTTACCGATGTTGTCTGACCCAGTAAAGCCAAAGATGCCCCGGACTTGGTTGTACGTGACACACTTCTGCACCTTGAGAATCTGCGGGTACATTTCTTTAATGTAGTCGGTGTTAGCGAAAATGAAGGTTTTCTTGACATCGAACCCGCAGGCGATGATATCCTTTGCGTTCTCCCAAGCCATAATCTTGCTCTCTTCGAGCGTCTGATCCTTGAATAAAAATTTCTCGTCGTTAGTGAGTTGAATCACAAGAGGTACATCAAAAACCTTTTGCAGCCAGGCCGTAAACGTGAACGGAATCAGGTGTCCCATATGTAGACTACCCGAGGAAGGGCCACGACCAGTGTACAAGAAAAACTTTTCGCCCTTCTCATACGCGTCAAGGATCACGTCCAAGTCACGATGTGAGAAAAAGTAGCCACGACGTAAATAGCGATGAGCTTTATGGCCTGTTAGTTTCTCCATCCTCTCCACCATCTCAGGAGGAATCTTGGTACTACCAAACTGTTCGACCAATTTGTCATAGTCCACACCATCTTCGGCTTCCACATCCCACGGTGTCACCACTTGGGCACCACTTGCTACCCCAGAGCTCAACACTTGATATTGAAACTCATTCTGTCGTAGTAGCAGATCGACACTTGATGGCACAGGCGCACTTTGAGCTGGTTTCGCACTCTCGGAAGGCTTGGCCTTCTTCTGCTTCTGTTTGCCGATTTTGACAGAGCCTCCGGCCGCTTTTTTTGCTGCTTGTTCTGCTAATTTCTTCTCCTTTTTCAACTGATTCTTGGACGTTGGATTGGCCTTGTCGTTCACAGCAGGAAGAGCATTTAGCTTGACTTTCGTAGACTGAAAAGGCGGCGTATAGTCGACACCTGTTAACGTCTTGTACTGCATCTTGAGCGCCAGTAATTTCTCCACTTGAACCGTAATTTTATCAGCATTTTTCTTATCCTTAGCTCCTTTCAGCTCACGGATTGTGTTGCCCGTAGCGACGATCTTGTCTATCAATTGCTGCGTCTCCATGATGCCGATACGTTCGGGTATGGCCATACAAATGAATGGCTAGTTATGATTGGATGAAAAAGAACATAGATACAAGTTGACACACGTCGCAGATATTGGTCTACCTGAGTCATATTATGTAGCCATCTACAGATAATGCACTTGGATGATCAATGCACATGGCTACAGCTACAGCTACAGCCTATTATTCCTGCTTGGCTACTAGCTTTTTACCAAGTGGCGCAGTGATCGAGAATGTATGGGGTAAAGTACGTGATCAGCACACTTGCACCAGCACGTAGCAGACAAAGATGAGCTTCACGCACGACGCTCTCGAGCGAATCAGTCGAGTCACCGTAGTTTTTGAGCATCTTGTACTCACCTGAGACAAGGTAGCAGACCACAGGCACCGTCTTCTTGGCAGCAAAGCTGGCTACAATGTCTGAATAAAAGAGTGACGGCTTGACAATTACACTGTCTGCACCTTGTTTCACATCACGTTCAAACGCCAATGCAGCGTGACTTGTGCTGCCCACTGGATGCTGGTAGCGTTTACGATCCCCCTGGAACGTCGACTCGACAGCGTCACGGAATGGCGCATACATGACCGAGGCTTTCTTCGATGTGTACGCCATAATAGAGACATGTTCAAAGCCGTTCTCATTGTAAATTTGACGGATGGCACCAATACGGTTGTCCATCATGTCGGATGGACACACCATATGAGCACCAGCTTTGGCGTATGCAAGTGCAATTGTTGTAAGACGCTCGAGTGTCCGTGCATTGTCCAGTACCTGTTCTCCATCGACATCACGCAGGATGCCACAGTGTCCATGGTCCGTGTATTCACACATACACACGTCGCAGGCCACGAGGAGCTCCGGTAGCGCCTTACGCAAAACTGTAGTACACTTGATAACAGGCGTAGCTTCATCATCAGCCATGGAGCCACTATCGTCCTTGTTCTCGATGACACCAAAGAGCATGACACTTGTTAATCCCTTGGTCAAAAGTACACGAAGATGTACGACGAGAGACGCAAAAGTGCCATCAATGCCTTGACCCCATTGGAATTCTGGTTCTAGACCACCGATTGGTTTATCATTTGTACGTGATGTCACAAAAAGGGGATACATGAGCTGAGAAGGATGGAGATGTGGCTCACTCCAGGCACGTTGCGTCGGGTGATACAGACTTGAATGCAGTGAGTCCATAGTAGTTGGTAGATGAGATACTATAATGATTTTGGTATATGGGCATGAAGAGCTACGGTATGTGAAACCAGTATACCGATACATGGCAGGTATATTATAGGTCGGACTATTTTTTGCGGACGTTTTGGTACGGAATACTAACACCTACTTTTAAGGATTAATTCGTGACGTTTTATGCCCATCAGTGTCTAGTAGCCATAAAGATGGTGTTGTCCTGGAGCCATTACTTTCGTGCAGACAACAGTCTAGAGTATGAAGAATGGAAGCCTTTAGTATTGCCATTGCTGTGGTTTACAATGGGGTATTGTCTCGTCCTATTGCTACGATCCAAGGTAATAAATAACGAGTAGCTGAATTTGGCAACGACCATTTTATGTATTTCTTACGAGCTTTTTTTGGTAATATGTGACAGATTTGTCCATGGCCAAAAAGTCAATGGACAGTTGTACCATTTCTGCACACTCGACATAGACGAGCCCGTCGCCGTCGTGTACCGGTGGACGATTTTTTGCATCGTCACGGGATAAATGTCATTTCTATGCCACAAGTACAGAATGTTGTTCCTTGTTTGGAGTTACAATTACGTGACAATCCAGCAACATTTGAGTTTGGAAAATATAATGCTACAATTCCATATGCAGTTGAACAGGTGGGTGCCTTAAGTAACAATATTTCCGCCTATTGTTATATTTGGACGAACGTTCACATTTGTTCGTACAGACTGCTGATGGATATTATCGTACATTCAAAGAACCACTGCCAGACATGGCAAGTCGATTGTTAATTTCAATTCAAGTGCTGGAAGAGCGACATTTGGATGAATTTCATGCTGTTTTCAAGCGTCGATTATTGACATTCAGGTATCACAATGTAAATTTTCTATCCAAATATGGGGTTTGTTGACAAATTTTTGTATCTGCTCTTAGGAATGAGGCTCCTTTTTTCATCAAACGCTTTGTAAGCTCGGATTATATCGAGTACATTGAAGATTCATTGCTGGATAAACAAAACCGGGTGAGGTCTCTATCAATTTTTTTATCTGTAGACCTTTTTACACGATCTCGTACGTCGATCTTAGCAAATTTTTGTGCTGTATTTTGTTCAGATTTTCTACGTGTACGTCAAGAATGAGTCGTACCAATCGCTGGGTGTTTTAGAAGACTTTGCCGTGTACAAGGCTCATTCAGACAAACCTCAGTGGTAAGCAGTCTCGTCATGCTTTTTTTAGGTGACATTTAAGCCAACGTGATGTCGCTTCTTGTTGTTTGTAGGACAAATCTTCATCAAGTGTGTCGCGTGCACATTACAAGCTCTTCTCTGCTTGTTTTCCGATCAAAGGTACACTTTTTGCTCATGCGCTGAGTGGACAGACATTGAGACTGTAAGAATCATTTTGTGGTGTCAATTTACGTGTAGATTGAGTCGTTCATCTCGAGCTACTATTGTAAGCACGCCCCAAACGCCAGAAGGTATCATCTCCAACGTCTTCAAGAGGAATTTGGCGATCCTGTCGAGTTGAAGTAGCACGTGCGAGTACCAAACAGTGGGCATAAGCACCTCAGGACACGAGTATGATTGAGCAACATGTTCTCACACTTAATTTGTTGTGGACGTTTCCAAATTTGTTCATGAGGTGCATCAATTATGCAGCCAAGTCGTGCCTTTACTCTCAGTGAGTGATCCATTCGGGTATCAACAGCGCCTTTGCACTAGCGCATTTGTCGGTCACATCCATTGATCGTCAGCAAAGATGCTATGCTACGCCTCATTGTACGAGTATGCTGCAAGGAGCTAAGTGCGCAACGACAGTCACTAGCTTCAATCTTCGTCTACCGGCTGCTCATATTGTCGACGTAAAGGAAAGAATGCTGGGCCTCTTGTCGTTCAAACGTCCGATGTGAAGCTGCAAGCGGCGTTTTGCAATCATGATGGTTCATTCTGAGCGCGACTGCGAGCGAGAGGCTGTAACACTCATTTTTTTCATCCAAGCTGGTTGCATCTTCACGTGAGCTTTAAGGTCAGCAAGGTAGCATCAAGCATTCGAGTGCGTCTGCATTTTTGGCCATCACCAACGCCATAATCAACGCCAATCTGCGCTCTCGCAGTAGATATGGTAAATCATTGCAGCGTCGCCAAGTTAGAGATGGTACTGCATGCATGCATCTCGGCAATAGGATCTCCAAGCAGGTCGCCACTACATCGTTCAGCCAAGTTCCAAGAAGCCACGGATGATCGATCTCCTAATAGTGGTATCGATGGTAAATCTGCTCTAACGACGCCAAAACAACAGTCCCAATGATGGAATAAGACATTCGGCATGCTCAACAGCAAAACACAAGACTTTGACCAAGCAAGACCAATCATAACTTACTTTTTCTGCCGCAGGTGGCAAAAACGCATCACGGTTACTCGTAACCTTCACTGCCTCGATGCCGACTTCATACAACGAAGCACCTACCACAAGGCTTACATGATAACGCAAGCGTTATCTCCTCCTCCTCCCTTACTCATCTGTTTTGTGTCTTGATTTCCACCAGCAGTACTCGTGCGGAAGGAAAAGTTACGTCGAAGATAGCCACGTAGAGCACGATGCTCTCTCTTTAAAAGCTGGAACGCGTCCTTCAAAGAAGTATGGTTCTCCTCGGTAGCGGTTTTCTCCATCACGTGCTCAGTGGCTAGTTGTACACGGAATGCTGCCTTGGAAACACGCATAGCTGCAACATACGCTGAAGATCCCTTGAGGGAGTGACTTTCGCGTCGAAGCACAACGAAATCACTCATGGAATAAGCATCCTCGATACGTTTCATAAACTCCTCGCTCAACCCCGCGTACTTCTCAAGCAGACTCATAAACAAGCTTTCGCTAGTACCGCATTGTTCGACACCAAGAGCGTAGTCGATCGGATCACCACTTGGAATCACAACATCTTCAGGCGCCATGGTTGTAGAGTATAACAAAGCTGCTTGGGAAGCTTTGCTTGTCACAATTGTCGAACTAATTGCACTTTCATCAGCCTCTTGCTGACCATTGCTGTCATCTGACGATGACGACTGCGGCGCAACTTCAGTCACATGCATAGGATAGATTCCAGCTGCATTTGCTGCAGCAAACAAATTCGTACCAACAATGCTTGAAGCATTCACGAGATTTTCACGATGCACCACGGACCGAATCGTTTGTTCCGTCGATTTGGACATCACGATCACCGATGAATGAGTATCCGCCGGTCCAATTGTGCGTCCGAGGGTCCCCGAACTTGCTGACTGGTTACTTCGGCTCTCACTGATAGTAGTGAGCGACATTAGCAATGCCTCCGAGCCTGCTGCTGTCTGAATTCCACCAGCCTGACCGATCATCATCGGGTCCTCCAGTTCTAGGTCCGAAATGGCCCGATCCAGATCAAGCTTCTCCTTGTGCTTCGACGCCGCCACCAAGTTGGCGGCATTTTGGTTGGATGACGCATCGACAATAATATCGAGAGACTCTATTCCTGATGGTCGGGGACAATGTTGACCCGAGTAGCGTACAATCATCCACTTTCGGATTGCCTTGCGCAGCTCATTTTTCGAGATAGGTTTGACAATAAACTCATCCATTCCGGCGTCAAGACACTTTTTCCGATCACCACTCATAGCATACGCTGTGACGCCAATGATAGGAATACGGGGAAGATCGTGCTGCTTTTCAAATATGCGAATATTTCGGGTGGATTCGTACCCATTCATGATTGGCATCTCACAGTCCATTAGCACGATGTCATACGAACAATGATGCTCCTGGTACATCTGATACGCATCTAGACCATTTGTCTCCCATTGCAAAAAGTGATTGTCTTCCATAAAGAAGCTCTTGACAACTTCCCAGTTGAATTCATTGTCTTCCACCACCAATATACGAGCATGCTCCGGCACTAATTCCGCGTTTTGTCTTGCAGTACTGGACGCTAGAGAGGGTGCAAGGCTCGAATCAGCAGCCAAAATAGCTGGGAACTTTTGGACAATACCTTCGTCTTCATCACCAACCCGACCTACGACTACAGTAAAGAAAAACTCTGAGCCCTCTCCCAGTTCACTGTCAACGTCAATACCACCGCCCATAAGCTCCACAAGCTGTTTGCAGATTGCAAGTCCCAACCCAGAGCCCGTAGGATTATTCTTGCGTGTACGTTCAAGCTTTGTGAATAACGAAAACAACCGTGACTTTTCCTCATCGTCCATGCCGACACCAGTATCAATGACTTGGAACAATAGCTTCACACAATCCTTCGAAAGGTCTGGTGATGGTACCAAATTGCAGCGAACTGTGATTGATCCTTCGTTCGTGAACTTGATAGCGTTCGATAACAAGTTTAGCAGCACCTGCCGAAGTCGACTAACATCACCAACTACTTGCTTCGGCACTTTCGGAGAGCACTCTAATGTAAGCTTGATGTGCTTTTCACGAGCCTTAAACTTAAAAATTTCCACCGAGTACTCCAGTAGATCTTGCATTTGGAACAAATCTGCTGAGATCTCCATGTGCCCGGCTTCAATCTTTGACAAGTCGAGGATGTCATTGATTAAGTTTAGCAGCAGTGACCCGGAAATGTACGCAATGTGCACGTAGCGTTCAGGCGTCTTGTCCAACTTTTGATCGCGCAGTAGTTCCAGCATACCCAACACGCCGTTCAGAGGTGTTCTTAGCTCGTGACTGAAGGAAGCCAGGAAGTTCACCTTGGCCGCTTCCATGTGTTTCTTCGCAGTGTAGTCTTGACCCACTCCAATCACACCACGAATATTCCCGTGCATGTCCTTCTTACTGGAGGCATTGACGAGCAATAGCAATGATTGTCCAGCTACAGTCGTCATGGGTAGTTCCATCTCCCCAACATCAATGCCAATTAATGCCTGGTTCAGCAGTTTGCGTACTTCCGGTCGGTTTTCAACATTAATAAATGCATCCACCAACGATAGACCCAGAACCGTCGACTTGTGGAATCCCGTAATCTCCTCAATCTTTTGGTTCCATTCATTAATGCACCCAAAAGTGTCAACACCAAAAATGGGAGCATTCGCCGTATCAATCAATCGAAAGTATTCATGTTCCTGCGCAATGCGGTCAGTAATATCCTGACCAATGCCCACTACACCAACAATATTACCATGCATGTCATTTCGTGGCGTCGCGTTTAAAAGAATCTCAATTCGCGTACCAGGCCGTGTGATCAATGGAAACTCAAAATTCCCAGTCTGAATACCATTCAGAGCTTTGGTGAATACGTCCGCGACAATTGGACGATACTCTGGCGAAATAAACGTTTCCACTAAGTTCTCGCCGATGACTTCTGCCGTAGAGTATTTGGTAATCTGAGCAGCTTTCTTGTTCCAGATGTTTACGCAGAGGTTTGCATCTACGCCAAAGATCGGCGCGTTCGCTGTATCAATCAGACGTGTATACTCTTGCTCCTGCACAATGCGATCAGTCAAGTCCTGACCAATGCCAACTACGCCCACAATTTCACCATGCTGGTCAAACCTTGCAGTCGCGTTCATTCGAATATTTACAGTGCGACCATTCTTTTTCTTCAATTCGACATCAAAATTTGATGTTTCATCGCCCTCCAGGGCCTTCCATAAGATAGTTTCTGTAGCGTCGCGGTACTCTTCCGGAATCGCCCAGCTCATCAAGTCCTTGCCTACTGCTTCTTCCTTTGAGAATCGCGTCATTTCAGCCGTTTTGTGGTTCCAGATATTGATCAGACCTTGTGAGTCGACACCAAAAATTGGAGCATTTGCCTTCTCAATCAATCGTGCATATTCCTGTTCCTGGGCGATACGATCCGTAATGTCCTGGCCAATACCTACCATGCCAATAACCGTCCCATGTTCATTGAACCGAGGTGTGGCATTGAGCAAGATTTCAACTCGGCGGTTTGCTTTTGTGACCAGAGGGAACTCAAAGTTTGCTGTTTCGATTCCATCAAGAGCCTTAGACAAAACTGCACCGACAGCCTCACGGTAATCTTCCGTAATAAATTGTTCCACCAAGTTTTCCCCCAAAACTTCATCAGTAGAATATTGCATAATCTCTGCTGCCTTCTTGTTCCAGATATTTACACGGCCTTCGCTATCAACTCCAAAAATAGGGGCGTTGGCAGTATCGATTAGCCGGCTGTACTCGTGTTCCTGGGCAATTCTCTCTGTAATATCCTGACCAATACTCACTACACCGACAATCTCACCCAATTCGTTGTATCGTGGAGTGGCATTCAGTAAAATCTCAACGCGGCGCCCGGATTTGGTAATAAGGGGAAAGTTAAAGTTGGCAGTCTGGACACCATTCAATGCCTGTGACAACACCAAGCCCACGGCAGGGCGGTAGCCCTCCGATATAAATTCTTGCACCAAGTCCTTTCCAATGACCTCGTCAGCTGTAAATTGCGTGATCTCCGCGGACTTGTCATTCCAAATATTTACAAGGCCAGCCATGTCGACACCAAAAATGGGTGCATTAGCTGTGTCGATCAAACGACTATACTCTTGCTCTTGCACAATACGCTCAGTAATATCCTGGCCAATACCAACAACGCCCACAATGTCACCGTGCTGATTGTAACGCGGTGTCGCATTCAGCAGTATATCGACGCGTCGACCAGTTTTCGTAATCAACGGAAACTCAAAATTTGCTGTGCCTTCCCCCTCCATGGCCTTCGACATCACTTCTGCCACTCCAGCACGGTAGTCGAGTGGAATAAAGCTTTCAACTAGCCGAGTTCCTCGTGCCTCCAGCACTGTGTACTCCGTAATAGCCACAGCCTTTCGATTCCAGATATCCACACGACCTCCCATTTCAATGCCAAAAATTGGCGCATTAGCCGTATCAATCAGTCGAATGTACTCTTCCTCTTGTGCGCGTTGATCAGTAAAATCTTGTCCGATTCCCACCATACCAGTGATATTGCCGCTGTGGTCAAAGCGCGGTGTAGCATTCAGCAGGATGTCTAGCTGTCTCCCGCTTTTCGTCATCAAAGGAAACTCAAAGTTCGCAGTCTCAATACCACACATTGCTTTAGAAAGCACATCTGCTACAGTGTCGCGCGCATGTTGTGCAATAAACCCAAGGAGATTCTTGCCAATTGCCTGCACATGCGAATAATCAGTAATGGTCGCCGCTTTCTTATTCCATATCGTCACACAAAGCTCCTTGTCCACACCTACGATGGGTGCGTTTGCCGTGTCAATGAGACGTGTGTACTCTTGCTCCTGCACGACTCGTTCCGTAATGTCTTGGCCTATGCCGACTACGCCGACAATAGCTCCGGCATCATTGTAGCGCGGTGTAGCGTTCAGCAGTATTTCCACCTTCCGACCGTGTTTAGTGATCAGAGGAAACTCACAGTTTGCAGTCTCGACACCGCGTAGCGCTTTCTGGAAAACTGCTGCCACATCCTCTCGGTAGTCTTCGTGGATCAAGAACGACACCAAATCGACGCCCATGACCTCGCCGGGCCAGTACTCACTTATCTGTGCAGCCTTCTTGTTGAAAATCACAATGCAACCCTCTGCGTCTACACCGAAAATAGGTGCGTTAGCGGAATCCACCAGCTTGCTATACTCCATTTCACTCGCGTTACGCGCTGTCACATCTTGTCCAATCGCCACGATGCGGTCGACAGTTGAGCCAGCTCCATCATCGCTGACCTGCGGCGTGAGACTCAGCAGAAGCTCTACGCATGCGCCGCCAGCCGTCTTTAACGGCAGCTCGCACTTGGAAACAGACGTGTTGGTCGATGCAACGCGCGTCAAGAGTTTACTAACAAGCTCACGGTAGTCTTCTTGCACCAGGTCAACGAGTGGTGTGCCTAGAACCTGGTTATTAGCGTACCCTGTGGTTGCTTCGGCCTTGTCGTTCCATACAAGAATATGTCCATCTCGATCCAGTTCTACAACCGGAGCATTGGCTTGTTGATCCACTTGATCATTCTGTGTCGCTCGTCCTGTCGATTCCGTAATATCCTGTCCGATAGCCACGATACCAGCCACGTTATTGTCTTTCACGTCGACCGTCAAATTCACAAGCAGCTTCAAGTTGCGTCCACGTTTCGGTGTATGAAACTCCATCTCCACGTCCCGCACCGTCACGTCCATATCAGCAAGAGCTTGTTCCAGTCCACGTGTCACTTCTATCGTCTTCTCGGCCGTGACCAGCTCCGTCATTGAACGACCAATCACGTCGACCGCTAGCAACCCCGAGAGCTGCGTGAGTTGCTGGTTCCAAAACGTCACACAACCCGTTGCATCCATTGCCAGTACCGGTGCATTGGCTTCGTTTAGAATGCGAAAAAGACGCAAATGAATGTTGGAAGACAATGACGATGCCATGTGTGGCAAGAGACTGGAAGACAATGACGATGCCATGTGTGGCAAGAGACTGGAAGCCAATGCAATGGATGGTCGACGTGCGTCCACGTCCAGCCCGGTGCCATGACTGCAATTACTATCCCGACGAGATCGTCTCGTGCCCGATTGGTTCTTCTTCGTCACTGTCTTTTTCTTTCGAGGTTGTTGTTGCTTGGACATACTGTCCTTCTTTCGACATGGCATGGCATCCATTGCGTCAGCTCTGTATCGTCCAAGGACGTATTAAAAAATCTGATTCGCTGAATGGACAAGCTAGAACAAGTCGATATCCAAGTCAAATAATCACTGGCAGAAAGGACGTATGCAAGGATAAGAGGAAAATTGTCGAACGCTTTGTGGTCTCCAACGTCTTTTCTAGTGTGTGTGTGTGTGTGTAGGTACGTGGGTGGATGGAGATCAATCGCAACAGCTTCAGATGTCTCTTCCTCGACTCAGAATCTTGAGCTTTGATCGACGATGTGTAACATTTTTGGGACTGCCTCGATTAGTAGACGGGTATTTTTCGACCAATGACGAACTGAACCGACTTGCCAGAGACGAGCCATTGTGTCGTCCCATCGTCATACGGGTCAATATAAAAAGGGACGATAAAATCACTGGCTCGTCTGACGGTGGCGGCAATGGTATGCCGTCTTCGTGATGGCAGCACGTCGTCTCGTTTTTTTCTCGCCTTGTCGTCGTCGGATGCGGACGCCGGTGACGGCTTTTGAAACACACGGCAACGTCCAAACGGTGGTCAACCATGTGGTAGGGCGTGTAGAGGCAGTACGGTCGTGGCAATATTTTGAGCAGAATAATTGCTACGATTTGGTCAAATCCTGCGCTTGCAACGTGCTGCGAGACTCAGACGAGCGATGACTGCGGCTGGCTGGCTGGCAGGGACATGTAATTGCTGTCACAGGGTATAGCAGGCGTAAGGCATCTTCCAAAGAGGAGGAGCCAATGGTTTGCATCTTAAAGATGCTGCTGCAGGAAGATTCGATCATGATCGCGATCGGCGATTATGATACCGTTGCTACTGTGGCCAGTAAAGGGTATCACTTTGCATGCAGAGGTGTACCTGTAAACAACCCGTTTGGCTGAGGTGACAATGTCGGTATTGACTTACGGCTGACTCAGCCCGCGGTCGCTACGAAATACTAACGCAGGTCTCGAAAACATGTATTCACTAGCTTTCCTGCTCTTTGCCACTGTGCTTCTGTATAAGGCCGTTGCTCTCCCCCTTGCAGGCTTTGTTTTTCAGTTTCCACATTGTGATCACAGCTTGCAGTGCCGGCGCTAGACATGAGACCCTGCCCCCGAGCTACTACGTTGGTCGCAACGATGTCATTATTGCAACCCCCAATAGGTGCGAGGACATCAAAAACAAAACCATGTGTCTCTCTAACAGCAGCCGCTGCCACTGGCACCACTCTTCTCCACCGCCTTGCCATCCAGCTTCCTTCCGCGACTGCGCGGGGCCGTGTTGCACAATAGTGCAGGATTCTCCAGGATCTGAGGCACACGGTTTTTGTTAGTGAGAGCGTAAGCTACATCGAAAACTACGTCTCATATTAGACCGCACCTTTTGCACTACTTCATTAAACACTTGCTGGATGCCAATTTTGGTCTTTGCACTGCTTTCAACAAACAACATGCCTTTTGACCGCGCCCAATCTTCGGCCTCCCGGCGACTCACAACTCTTTCCTACAGATACACGAAACCAGCAAAAGTATAGCATGTCAACTACCGCAGGTCGATGTCCAGACAATGCACCGAATGTACCTTATCAATCTTGTTGCCCACAAGAAGCTTTACTACATCACGTCCACCGGCTGGACTGTACACCTCCACTTCCTGCAGCCACAAGTCCAGATTCTCAAACGTGTCTCGTCGAGCAACGTCATACACTACGCAACAACAGTTCCATTAACAACAACAACAACATTCACAACAAAGAGTGTAAGAAGCTACTCTAGCACCTGTTCACATAGCTTTTACTCACCCAAGACAATGCCCTGTGCACCTCTATAATACGAGCTAGTCAGCGTGCGGAAACGCTCCTGACCAGCAGTGTCCCAGATTGTCATTTTGATCTTTTTGCCGTCCACTTGCATCATCTTGACCTTGAAATCTACACCTGTGTACCCAAAAGTCGTCCAAACATGTTACTCATTGCAGTACAAATCATTCACCTCCTGTACACTATCCTTACCAATGGTGCTCTGCAAATTATCGTCGAACGTGTCGTCCGTGAACCGAAGCAACATACTGTACACAATAGCATGAATGTCTGCATCTCTCACAAGCGATTGCTGCTTCAACAAGCCTCACACGCACCTGCTTTTGCCAACACCAGCATCTCCAATCAATAAAAGCTTGAATAAATGATCATAGCCGTCCATTGTGTTCTTGAAACTGCAACAAACAAATAAACAACACGTTAGCACAAAGAGCTCCATTAATTGACGTCCCCAGAAGTCCAAAGCAACAGCATTTCATGCAAATTTCAGGAGCATAAAGACAAAATGTCGATGTACACGGGGGAAGACGTTACCTGTTGTGATTGAAGCTGTAAGCGACGGGCCGGAATTGCGGATAATAAGCGTTCTCTCACTTCCTTTGGCTAGTCTCTGTATTGTTGGACCAGATAAACAAGAGGATTCTTTTCAACCAATTAAAAACGAATAAAGTAAAAATTAAAATAATAATGAATTAAATTCATTTTGCAATTAATTATTGGATATTATGGCAGCGACGACGACATCAGCGGTACTGCACACTCAAAAGGATCGAAAGGTGCTGCATGACTAGACTGTATCGATTTGTTTGATACAGATTGTTGCAACTCATTAACGACGGTACTATTTGTAGGACATTAATGGCATTCCAACGGATATTGCCGTCTCGATCTTTGCAGACCGTGTGTTTATTGTCGTGACTCAATTGGGAACTTTTGGCACATTGGTAGACAAAAGCTTTAGTTAAAGGTTTGAGACGTCCAGTGAGACTTTTAAACATATGATACTGTTGTAGGTGGAAGCACAGCAAAAGGATTCGATGAGTGGCAAGTTCCAGCCGGACATCCACGTTCGTCTTGGACGACGTGACGATCCGCTGCTGTTGGTGTACGCGCGGCAATTCCTGGAACACTTTGGGTACCTTATGGCAAAGCATTTCTGCTTGGTGATAGGATGTTCATTTGCGAGGTTGTCGATTGTTTGTGTACAGCGTTCCTGTGGGTCTGCCCATTCTGGCGGCTATTGGGCTGAAAGATCGCTCATCGGACACGTTTGAGATGATCATGCAGAGTGTAAAGGAGCTTTTTGGCCAGGCTCAGAGCCAGTTGTAAGCCATATAACCTGTTAGGCTTCTCTGAAGTAAACATGATATTCCTGCATCATGCGTCGAGTAGGTGCTGCTTCTTTTGGAAGTGATGTTGATGGTGTCTTTAGACTTGTATGCAGCGTCAAGGAGCGAGAATTAGTTAAGAGAAGTCTGAGCATGATATGGAAGCGTGTTGAAAGTATCAAAGGTGCTTGCTGTTGAATGGATGAGGAATCCTCTCGCGACAAACTACCTCTCGTTCCAGTTTCGAGTGTACTAACTAAGAAGAACATGAGAGGATGTTACTGGTAATGTCTATGTATCCATTCTACGTGCAGTACCGCGGGGGAGATCACTGGCCAGCTCCGTTCGAACAAAAAGCAAGCAAGTGATTGCTGTGGCTCTACTCCGCGTGTTTCTGTACCCCCAACCGGCTTCAAGATGCTTACTGGCTGCAGGGACGACTAACGTGCCAACGTCGGGTATACTAAAGACACAGCACATGGGCTTAAACAAAATCATTTCACATTGAAGCTGCAACGCTAGCCATGCATTGATGGATTCCCTGCCATACGCAAACAAATTCACATCCATTCTCATGATCCCGCACCCTTCATATTGCAAATCGACCTTCACTCGTGGGAAAAGTGCGCATGAAGCGCTCTGCTGCCCAAGGCGTTGGCATGGATACCGCAAAAACCGGTTGTCTTGTCAGTACTTTTCATCCTTTGTGTTGCATTCTCAGACTGCTTTGATTCTTTCCATGGACGTAGTCTGCTTTTAAATACTAGCCAATCAAAATGCTTTATTTTAACAATGGTTTATTTCTGAGTCAGATTTACCAGTGTAAATCGAGCTTGAAGATGGGTACATTGAAGTTGCGTACCGAAGATACCATGACAGTCCGCACTACTGTCCTCAGTTTGCAATTTACCAGCTCTTGCGCACCCGATCAACCACATCACACCACACCAACTCGCATTCAGCTGATACTCATGTCAAAACTGTCTTCCGTTGACGCCGGTGCGCAGCTACGTCGCCTAATCTTTTCCTGCTGAGCTCTTGTCTAATCCCTTTTGCTCTTATTGCCGTCTAGACTCGCCAACCAAGTCCGAGTGCTTGGAACTCTTTCGCGCTCTAAAGAATAAAGACGAGCTCTCGCACTCGTGCAAGGAAATCATGGAGATGATTACAGCTAATGACAAGGGCGTCATGGAGAACGAGCCCCTCAACACGTACGGTGGGAGTAGAAGTCGTGGTGGGATCAGCCACGCAGCACTGCAACGCCGCTTCACGGGCAAGATGTCGGGTGTCAGTCTTTCGAGTTAAGATGCTACGAAAGCGAGACCAAGTCGAGTACAACCTGTTGTGTAGCTATCACATATCACATTTGAGCTAAAATGATGTGTCGAGAGAGTTGACGGGTTGCATATGTGTCAGATGTTCCATTTATCTCTATAAAGCTTCAACATCTTTTTAATTCCTTCCAATATAACCCAGTTCTATCACCCAAACTTGGCTCTTTTATTTCCCAATAAAACATGTTCTTTTTTGTCCACTCATCCGACTGGGTGATTGGGTCTTTTTCTTTGCCAGTCAATTAACATGGAGCTGCTGTTCCGTCGCGTGACGTCGATACATGTGCTGGCCAAGACCGACGTTCTCGTGGCTACGTACCGCTCCAAACGTAGTCAAGCCAAGTGCAAGGCATTCCGTGTGGCAAGTGGCATTACTGTCAGCGACGAAAAGAAGAAGAACAAGCAGAAAGACCAGCGTCGACTGCATCGTAAGAGCGAGAGACACGAAGCACTACCGCACGTAGAGGCACCTCCTCCACGCCCGACGCTGCAAGAGATTGATCAAGAATGGGCCAGGATGCGTGTACGGACGATGGCTGTTCCACCTGCTATGATACCAGCACGAACCCGCAAGGACATTGAGAATAAGCGACGCATGCGGCGTCTTGGTTTGCTACCGGACGAAGAGGAGGGCGACGGCACGGGCGCGTCTGACCCGCGAAATACGGGATTTGTGGTCCATCAACACCCTCGCAAGCATGAAAACTCTGTCCCGCAGCATCATCGTAGAGGACGATCATCTAGAGAAGAGATAAGGGCGGAGGAGGAAAGGTACAGGGCTACAGGACGGCTGCCGGCGAGACGACCAGTTTCAATGAAGGACAAGCAGTTTACTAACATTCAGCTAGCACCGGATCATGTAGTGGAGCGTGAGTTTTTGATTCCAGACGAACCAGCCAACCCCAAGGCCTTGAATCTAGCAGTTATCGGACGACCAAATGCAGGCAAGTCTTCGATCATGAACAGCTTGCTGAATGTGACGATATCGGCGGTATCGCCCAAGTACAACACGACGCGAGATCGCGTCCTGGGCATTTTTACGGCAGGCGATGCTCAGCTTTCGTTCTATGACACGCCTGGACTGATCAAACCAAAGGAAAGTCATGAATATGTACAGTCGTTGGTGACGACGGCAGCGGAAACACTACAAGGAGTGGATTTGTCCATGCTGGTCGTGGACTCGGTAAAGCGTCTCGATGAGTCAGCTTTGCAGGCGTTGGAAAAGGTGCTGACTACGTCGGCGCAGTTGTGTTCCCCTACGATGCTCGTGATGAACAAGTTTGATCTTGTTGGCCAGCGGGAGAAAATGAACCTGGACATGAAAGTGAAGGAACTAACTCAAATGGTTGAGGAGATTTATACCAAACACTACGATGCTGATGGGGCGTCTTTACAGATCGATCCACTGGCTTACGTTGGTACAAACAGTATCAAAATCTCAGCGCTAAAAGGCTACGGCGTGGATCGATTGCGCAAGACGTTGCTCTCACTGGCAGTTGACCGCCCTTGGAGTTATCACTCGTCCATGCATTCCGATATGTCGGATTTGGATTTAGTGATGGAGATCATTCGTGAAAAGCTTTTTTGTCGATTCAACAAGGAACTGCCTTACACGTTTGAGCAAGAGAACGTCGGTTGGACCAAGTTTAAAGACAAGAGCATCCGCATTGACCAAGAGATTTTTGTACGTTGCATGGCTTTGCTATTAGAGGATGTATGTGTATCCTTTGTTTACATTGTTTTCTTGCATTTGTTACAGGTTCCTGCTGCTCGAGTTCGTAAGATGGTAGTTGGACACAATGGAAACACGATCCGTTCCGTGGGAATGGCAGCTCGGGATGAGATTGAGCAGCTACTGAAGTGTCATGTGCATTTATATCTGAACGTCCGCGTTCGCTAGACCACATCGCTTGGGTCTTTCGAAGAAGTAGCTAGACACCCTCACTAAACCATTTGAAAAGACCGATATCTAGTTTTCAAAGACCCATGGGGTTTTTGTACCACTTGTCCCGATGACCCGACTACTCGAAAAAGTGTGGGTTTTTTATCTGTCACTACGAAAAAAACGTCGCAATGGAGTTCAAGAACCAGGGCAATGCGTTCTTTGTGGATGAACAGTACGAAGAGGCGGTGCTGTGCTATACGCGTGCAATTGAGAGACATCCAGAGAATGCAGACACGTTGTCGAAGCGTGCAGCGGCGTTTTTGAAGCTGCACAAGCTGCACGAGGCTGCCGCGGACGCTTTACGAGCCACGGAACTGGACGCGACGCTGCATATGGCGTATATGCGTCGTGGGTGGGTCTTTTTGCTGAGGATAACAGCGATATAATGCAATGAATGAGCTGACAAATGTCTCGTGATTACAGCATGGCGTTGTTTGAGCTGGAAAAGTATACAGAAGCCAAGCAGATTTTCCAAATGGGGAGACAGAAGACACTCAAGACGGAGGAGACGCTGTTCGTCGAGCAGTTCCAGACGTGGATCGGCAAGTGTGATACAGAGCTAAAGAGTGGGTTATTGAAGGTGAAGAGAAGGCGTGTAGTATGTTGCTTACTTGTCTCTGTATTGCTGTCTTTCAATGATATAGAGGTGGAGCTGGTGGTTCCTGATGAGCTATTGGATACAGTGCAAAGTTTTGAGCGGAGCAATCACAAGACTGCTGTGATAGCTTCATTGCCGGTCAAGCCGACAATTCGGTGAGAGACATTGAGTTGAAGGTGATGAGCATGAAGAGTGGATTTCATGCTGACGTTGTGAATGTGTTATTGCAAGTTATGACTGGTACCAGTCAGAGTCTCACGTGACAATATCGATCCTCCAGAAGAAACTGACACAAGAAGATGTTGTAGTGACTATTGAGCCAAAGAAACTTATTGTCCGAGTGAAGTTGGATGAAGAGTGGGTAGAGGCATTTCATGATTATCTTTTTGATAAAGTCCTTCCTGAGGAGAGATCGTACAAAGTTTTGGGCACGAAAGTGGAGCTGAAGCTCAGGAAAAAGAGCTGTGGTATGCACTGGGACAAGCTCAAAGAAGTTGAGGACCCGTCGCGTGTACATGTTATGGCTGTCGCAGCAAAATCCGAGTGCGGACCACGTCCATACACGAGCAGCCGGAACTGGAACGAGATCGAGAAGGCCATTGACGACGAGCTCGAGACCGAGGAACCTAAAGGCGAGGAAGCAATGCAGAAACTCTTCCGCGATATATATGCCAACGCCGACGAGAATACGCGCAAGGCCATGAACAAGTCTTTCGTACGTACAGCACTATCTGCGTGAAATTAAAACCATCCAGTAACTAACCCGTATCTGGATGGTGTTTTTTTCATGAATGTAGCAAACTTCTGGTGGTACAGTCTTATCGACCAACTGGAAAGAAGTGGCAGATAAAAATTACGAGAAGGAACGGACAGCACCAAGCGGAATGGAGTGGAAAAAATGGGGATAACACCACCTCTACCAGTATGGACTTCCAAAAGACCATAATAAAAAAGCACTTTACTCCACCAAAAAAGTGTTTCTTACAAATCACACGCTATACTACAAATATCTCAATTGTTATTGCAATTATTGTGATACTTTTTTTAAAACAAAATATTTTCAAGAGCTTGCGACCTCCATGTCGTCTGTACCTCCTGGTCGAGACACTGACGCTTCTAGCAGTAGCGTTACTGATAGTGGTAGTGATGAATCGACACCACCAAATTCTCCTCCTTCTGCTACATCCAAACGCAGTCCTGCATCACTTCAACCGACTACGTCATCGTCTCCTCCGTCCAATTTACCACCTCGTCGACCGTCTGTGGTCCCTGTAGGACGTCAAGCCGCTATCCACGCAACTCCCACAGCTCCACGACGTAAAAGAAAAGCCACACCACCACGTCGACGTCCTACTAGTCCTGTAACTACCACGCAGCCAGTCAAACGAAGGAGAAAACCAGGAGATGGTGCCTTACGGGAGATTAGGTTGCTCCAACGATCGACTAAGTTGCTGCTACGTAAATTACCATTTGCACGGGTCGTACGTGAAATTCAGACGGAATTTACAGGGGTAGGCTATCGCTGGCAAGCTGAAGCACTCTTGGCATTGCAAGAAGCAGCAGAGACGTACCTCGTTCGTACTTTTGAAGATGCGTACGTATATATCTTGAGACTCTTCTTGGACAAGAAGAGGAGAAGTAGTGAGAGGGAGGGAGGGTGTGTGGTGATTTTTATTTTATTGTTGATTGTTGTAGGAATTTGTGTGCTATTCATGGCAAGCGCGTGACGTTACAAGTAAAGGACATTCAATTGTCATTACGAATTCGTGGGATTCGACCGACAGCGTCGTAAGTAGAAGAATTATGGACGGTCGGATCTAGTTCGACATGGACCTGTTGTTTTATTCATGAGATGGATGGGAGGGATACATGCCTGTGCAAAATGTCTTGAAAGGTATGACACAAATGTGTTGTTGTTTTGGTTTCGTTTTGCGTTCATATCGGGTCTGTCATTTCTTTTTCAGCCTCATATGTGTTTATAAAGTGGGTTGTAACTCCACGAGAAGACGAGTGTGCTTGTCTTGGTACTCAAGGCAGCAATGGTTTGCTACAATACCAGCCAGGGTTAGCCCTTTTTTACGGTGGACTTGTCAACTTCATTGGTGTAACCTTTGTCACTGACCCTGGCCACTCTTCCGTCCCTTTAAAACGATTCCGAAGGCGCTGAAGGGAAGCACGAGGTTTTAGAGGCTTGGCAAAAGTTGGGCGTCCGAGACGGCGTTTGGCCAGACCTTGTCCAATTACAGCTACAGTTCCCAAGCACTACGAGCAAACGATACAGAAATGAGCGACTGCTAAATAAGGCGCACACAATCAACACACGTACCAAGGAATGGCCATAACGCTGTGGACAATAATGCTTACAGCACGCCAAATCAGACTTGCATCTACACAATTCCCAAACAGCCAGATTTCGTCAGGTATGCAAGGTGAAATGCAGTTGTAGAAGTACGTGATGGGTCGAACATACTCTCGAGCATCGTAAATCTGCTTAGCAGCCCGCTTCCACTCAGCAACAAAGTCTTTCGCATCCTTTACACTCGGTATGGGCCCAAGTTTCATTGCTACCTCGTACTCATTTTCTGGATCCAACAACTGGTAGTCTTGAAAGAGCTCCTGCGCACAAGACGATCAACAGACAGCGTGAGATCCAAGGAGGCCAAAGTTCTCAACTGACTACGGCATGAACACAAACCTGTTCGCTGCTCATTTGGTCTTCGTACTTGTTACCTGGCTGGCGCTCCCATATCCTTTTGAGTGCAATATAGGGAGGTAACTGAGATGAACACGCTCCTGTGAGATATGCCTTCACGGTGGCAGCTTCTTTTCCATCGTAGTTACGATCTATGCGCCAAATCATCACAAATCGTGAGTCACGGTGTCCTCAAACACCAACAGTGCAAAACCATAGCCCTGCGTCATGTTGACTCACCCAACCGGATTTCACGTGTCTGCGGGTCGTATTCGGTCGCAAAATATTCTGCCGAGCCGATCAAAAGATGGTCCTCGAGCGGAAAATACTTGGACACATCCTCTGATGAGACTGCAACGTCGCTTTCGGGTGTTACCGATAGTGTTCCTGGAAAAGAGTACGTTGAGGCCTTGAACAACACTGCGTAGTACCAAACTTCACGAGTCTTAGCAATACTTGTAGCCTGATCAGCGTAGTACAATGTGGAGCGAGCATCTACCGAACGTGACGTGGACGAAGACGACATCGACAATCTGCGTAGCGGCGAAGCTATCATCTCGTTGTCACTAGCTACCTTCATTACCACATCTTTGTCGTTTGGCACGCATGGAACTGTTGGGCCTACCGAAGCGTTGGTCACCTGAAAATCGGTTAAAGCAGGTTCGGCCATCTCCACTTTGAAACGTTGGACTAGCTTCAACAGCACACCCATCCACGTCGGACCAGCAAGCGCGGCAGAAGTTAAAGTTGGTAGCACGAGTGACAGCTCATAACTATCTGCCTCGAGTCTCAACTCATCAATAAAGTCTGAATCCGAGTAAAGACTGTTTGCAAAAATTGTGTCGAGACGAACAACTTGACAAGTAGGCACGACATCGAAAAGCATTGGGACGTACTCTCGGAGAAGCTTATCGAAAGTCACGTTGCCTTCTTGTCTACCTGCAATACATCGATGCCAAACTGTTATACAGCAAAACAGGGAACCCAATCACCCGGTTGTGAACTATACTACCTTCTAGCAAAACATTTACGAGTGTCGCAGTCTGCTGACAAAATGCACTTGAGTGGTGTGGCAAAGTGAACTGAGACAACCCTCTAAGAAATAGAGCTGACGCAAGTGCTTTCTACCATTAACAAAAATCCATACCACAGACGTTAATTGCCCCAACAACTCGCTCATTTGCAGCAAGATTACTCACAGACAGCGGGATCGATTCCGATCTGGAGCTACTACCTGATACAACAAATAGCAAACAAAGCAGCAGCAGCTGTCAGCTAGAGTGCGCATCAAACTTCAGCAACCCAAAGCACCAAGAAAGTTTCACGCCGTACTCCGCATTGCCGCGCTTTCAGCATCCACCAATATCTGAACAACCTCCTCCGGTGGTCTCGACAGCGTCCGAACGAGCGACAAGGCCGTAAGACCTGATCTGTCTTGAGCTATGGGGTTTCCACCTCGATCCAATAACGCTTGAACTACCTGTTCATCCTCATCCAATCCAAAACTTAGTCTCAATTCCATTCATGTCTCACAAAAAGTTCTTCGAACCTCTGCGTATCCTCCCATTGCTGCAACATGTAACGGCGTTTGTCCAAACTTCGCCACCATACAAACAATCCGTAAGAAAAAGCACCTCTTGAATCCACTCAACAAGTCAAATGTTCTCTCTTACCACATTGCGAACGTTTGGATCAAATCCCACACTGTCCACGAGTAAATGCACGAGCTTCACCTTCACCTTCTGCCTTGCCGTCGATACTCCGACTGCCACATGAAGCAGCGTCGCTCCCATTTCATTACGAATGGTACAAAGATCAAGTTTCCAGTGTCGTAATCCATCTCGTGTAGGTATCGACCCCGTGTCTACAAAAGTCTTGAGAATCGCCGTCTTCCCAGCACTCGCTTGATCAAATAACGCGTGTAAAACCCCATTGGCTGAGCCTTTAGCTGTTGCATATTGTGCAGCTTGTCGAAACGTCACGTCTTTGTCCTCACGACGCGTTACAGACGCCAATAATTGCGTCTGAAGGTGTGCGACCTGTAGCTGGAGAGCTCTGAGGTTCGTTTTTGGGTCCGTTTGAGCGCTGAAAGAGGCGCTTGGAGTCGAAATTTGGTCACATGAGATTGTCAGATGCTGTAGATGATGTTGCGCGTTGTTGAGGAGGTCGGAAAGACCGTGAGAAGACGCTAAGAGACCGTCCGTGGGACTCGAAGAGACTTCCGACATGATTCCAGGCGATTGAAATGATTGAAAGATTTGGATTGGTAGATAATCGGATACGGAGGATTAGTCATCATTGGAAATTGGGGGGGGGGGGGCGGGGTGTTTTAAACGTTTGATACATTCGATTGCAAAATACAGTAGTACTATTTGCTCTAAGCGAGTACTATTTGCTCTGTGCGAGTACTATTTGTATAAAGTTTTTATTTTTCGGATCAGCAAAGAGTCATAACAAGTTGAAGATAAGGACAAGTTGCACGTCAGACGAGGACGTTTCGGTTAGCATGCAGGTGCTAAGATCAAGTGTCCAAGTGTATACGATCATAAAGTGTCGAGGAAGGGAGAGACTAGTCGGATGATACACGAACATTGCCGTCCGACGTTCCGCCTGTCCACGACGACGGGTCATGATGATCCATTATCCGATATCGTGACGCAAGCGTCTGCGACAGTACAGTCTGTATGATGACAGCTAAGGTAGTCAGCTGCTATAACAGGCAGCCATTCTATGTACACACTTTGGCAGTGTATACTTAGACTGGTATTGATCACATAGGATGCGTCGATGAGAGATAGTCTCATTTATGTACCTGTCACTCTGACGCAATACAGTTGCACCGGATGTTGTTGCATAGCCGGGACAGTGGTCTTAGTAGCCGGAACGGTCCCCCGCATTCTCTTGTCAGAAACGAATACGCTTTGACACGGACGGGGGGGCGGGCTGTCACGTCAGTCATCAGTTTATTATCTAAAAAACCTCATGGGAAAACACGGGAAACCTTGGCAACATATAGGTGTCCCCCCTTCTAATAACAATAATAATAATGGAATGGAAAAGATACAGTCGAAACCCAAGCACGTGTCACAAGTGGATACATTAGTGCAACTTCTATTGGACGCCAATGCACCCGCTGTGGGTGTCGATGGTACCGGTCGTGTGACTGTTTGGAACCAACGGCTCGTTGATATCACAGGTTTTGAGGCGAGACACGTACGGGGTCACTTTATCTCGGACTTTGTATACGGTGTTCAGTGGAAAGAAGAGATCATGGCGATTATTGAGGCGTGTATTGAAGCCAAGCGACCGGAACTGGAGCTACGGATTCCATTGCGGAATATCACTGGACGAAATGTTCAAGTGTTGACGAATCTGACGCCGTTATTAGCTGAAGACGGGTCATGTGTTGGTGTTTATGGTGTCGGTCAAGATGTGACAGAGTGGGCGAGCCAGGAGAAACAGTACGCGACAGTGATGATGCAGGCGAATGCACCAATTATTGAGCTGGATAAAGAAGGAAATATTACAGTCTGGAATTCCAAGACGGCGTCTATGACGGGGTACACCAGTGTTGATATGGTGGGCGAACCGCTGCTGCCTGTAGTAGACGAGAGTTTCCGCAAGATTGTGTCGGAGAAGATCAATCAGGCATTGACCGGTATTCCCGGAGCAGATTTTGAACTGCCTCTCGTGACGGCAAGAGGATCGAGAGTGGAGATTGTACTGTGCTTGACGCCGAGGTTTGACACTGTAGGATCAGTCATGGGGGTGGTTGCTATCGGACAAGATGTGACGGAGAGGAACACAAAAGAGATGGAGTACAGAAAGCTTATTGAAACGGCTAATGCGCCAATTTTCGGCGTCGATACGGAAGGACGAGTTGTGATTTTTAATGCCAAGGCGGCACAAATTAGTGAATACGAACCTGATGAAGTCATGGGTGCGGATCTAGTCGATACGCTCATCTCGGCAGAGTTTCGGCCTGCCGTTGCTGCTGTGTTTCAGAGTGCATTTCAGGGAACAGAGACGGCGAACTTTGAGTTCCCGTTGGTCACCAAGACTGGCCGAAAAGTGGAGATTTTGCTGAATGCGACACCTCGATATGATCACACAGGTAAACTGGTGGGCGTCGTGGGGATCGGACAGGACATCACGGATCGTATCATTCAGGAAAAGGAGTACAGTCGATTGATTGACACTGCAAACGCTCCAATATTCGGTGTGGACTCGAACTATAAGGTGATCATTTGGAACAAGAAGGCAGCAGCCATTACAGAGTACACCAATGAAGACACCATTGGCCAGGATTTGTTCAAGTTTATCTCCGAAGACTACCGGGATGCTGTCGCTAAGGTGTTTTTGAAAGCTCTAGAGGGCGCTGGTACAGCAAACTTTGATTTCCCACTGATCACGAAAAGCGGACGCCGACTTGAAATTTTGCTCAATGCAACACCAAAGTACGACCACTTCGGTAATATTAGCGGGGCGGTGGGAATTGGCCAGGACATTACAGACAGACGCGCTCAAGAGCAGGAGTATACACGTCTTATTGATACGGCTAACGCGCCAATCTTTGGGGTGGACGAAAGGGGATGCGTGAACATCTGGAACCGTAAAGCTGCCGACACAACACAGTACTCGAACGAAGAGGTGCTTGGGGTAAATTTGGTAGAAAACTTCATTCCGGTCGATTTTCAGGAGGCAGTGTGGACAGTGCTATCCCAAGCGCTGAAGGGGCAAGAAACAGCAAATTTTGAGTTTCCATTGATCACAAAGGATGGCCGTCGCGTGGAAGTTTTGTTGAATGCCACTTCACGCTTTAACGAGAAGGGTGTTGTGATTGGTGTTGTAGGTATCGGGCAGGATATCACCGTGCGTATGGCTCAGGAGAAGGAAACGAACCGGCTCATTCACTCGGCAAACGCCCCGATATTTGGTGTAGATCAAGACGGACGGGTGAATATTTGGAATCTGAAGGTGGCGGAAATTACTCAATTTTCTCCCGAAGAAGTAATGGGAAGGGACTTAGTCGAACGGTTCGTCGCGGAAGATCATCGTGAGTCAGTAGGGTTGTTGCTTCGGAATGCCCTTCAAGGAGAGCCGACTGGTAACTTTGATTTCCCCCTCATCACAAAAGCTGGACGCAGAGTTGAGATTCTACTCAATGCGACACCACGGTACGACGAGCTGGGACAAATCTTTGGTGTTACCGGAATAGGTCAGGACATCACAGAGCGCATTGCCCAGGAACAGGAGTACATACGGCTGATTGATACTGCCAACGCACCCATCTTCGGTGTGGATAGTGAAGGCCGTGTAAATATTTGGAACAAGAAGGCTGCGGAGATTATGCAATACACGACTGACGCAGTGATGGGAGAGAAGCTTGTGGAAAAGTACATTACGAAAGACTATCAGGAGGCTGTAAGTAATGTGCTGTCGGAGGCGTTGAACGGCGTCGAGACGGCAAACTTTGAATTCCCATTGATCACAAAGACTGGTCGACGTGTTGAGATCTTGCTGAATGCCACACCACGATACAATGAGCATGGTGTTGTCATTGGTATGGTTGGCATCGGCCAAGATATCACAGATCGCATTGCGCAGGAGCAGGAGTATACTCGTCTGATTGACACCGCAAACGCACCGATCTTCGGTGTGGATATCAATGGAAGAGTAAACATTTGGAACCGAAAGGCAGCCGAGACGACCCAGTACATGAATGCCGAGGTGCTCGGTAAGGACTTAGTTGCGGAATTTATCTCTGAGGAATACAGGGGTCCTGTCCGATGTGTGCTCAAGAAGGCGTTTCAGGGTGTTGAAACAGCCAACTTTGAGTTCCCGCTTATCACGAAGGCGGGTCGTCGTGTAGAGATCTTGCTAAATGCCACGCCTCGCTACAATGAACGTGGTGAGGTCATGGGTATGGTTGGTATTGGTCAGGATATCACGGAGCGCATCGCCCAAGAGCAAGAGTATAGCCGTTTGATCGATACAGCCAACGCACCGATCTTTGGTGTGGATATCAATGGGCGTGTGAATATTTGGAATCGGAAGGCTGCTCATATTATGCAGTATACGAATGAGGACGTGTTAGACAAGGACCTAGTTGCCGAGTTTATCTCGGAGGAGTACAAGGTGCCTGTGCGCAGCGTGCTTGAGAAGGCGTTCGAAGGTGTGGAGACGGCAAATTTCGAGTTCCCATTGATCACGAAAGCTGGTCGTCGTGTGGAGATTTTATTAAATGCAACGCCGCGCTACAATGAGCATGGTGAGGTCATGGGCATGGTTGGTATTGGTCAAGATATCACGGAGCGTATTGCTCAAGAACAAGAGTATACGCGTTTGATTGATACCGCCAACGCCCCGATCTTTGGCGTGGATATCAACGGCCACGTGAATATTTGGAATCGGAAGGCTGCAGACATTATGCAGTACACCAACGAAGATGTGCTTGGCAAAGACCTAGTCGTCGAGTTCATCTCGAATGAGTACAAGGTGCCTGTGCGTAGTGTTTTGGAAAAGGCCTTTGAAGGTGTTGAAACAGCCAACTTTGAGTTCCCGCTTATCACGAAGGCGGGTCGTCGTGTAGAGATCTTGCTAAATGCCACGCCTCGCTACAATGAACGTGGTGAGGTCATGGGTATGGTTGGTATTGGTCAGGATATCACGGAGCGCATCGCCCAAGAGCAAGAGTATAGCCGTTTGATCGATACAGCCAACGCACCGATCTTTGGTGTGGATATCAATGGGCGTGTGAATATTTGGAATCGGAAGGCTGCTCATATTATGCAGTATACGAATGAGGACGTGTTAGACAAGGACCTAGTTGCCGAGTTTATCTCGGAGGAGTACAAGGTGCCTGTGCGCAGCGTGCTTGAGAAGGCGTTCGAAGGTGTGGAGACGGCAAATTTCGAGTTCCCATTGATCACGAAAGCTGGTCGTCGTGTGGAGATTTTGTTAAATGCAACGCCGCGCTACAATGAGCATGGTGAGGTCATGGGCATGGTTGGTATTGGTCAAGATATCACGGAGCGTATTGCTCAAGAACAAGAGTATACGCGTTTGATTGATACCGCCAACGCCCCGATCTTTGGCGTGGATATCAACGGCCACGTGAATATTTGGAATCGGAAGGCTGCAGACATTATGCAGTACACCAACGAAGATGTGCTTGGCAAAGACCTAGTCGTCGAGTTCATCTCGAATGAGTACAAGGTGCCTGTGCGTAGTGTTTTGGAAAAGGCCTTTGAAGGTGTTGAAACAGCCAACTTTGAGTTCCCGCTTATCACGAAGGCGGGTCGTCGTGTAGAGATCTTGCTAAATGCCACGCCTCGCTACAATGAACGTGGTGAGGTCATGGGTATGGTTGGTATTGGTCAGGATATTACAGTGCGAATGGCGCAAGAACAAGAAAAGAATCGGATGATACATTCGGCCAATGCTCCAATCTTTGGTGTAGATCAAGATGGACGGGTAAATATTTGGAATCTGAAAGTGGCGGAAATTACTCAGTTCGCATCAGAAGAGGTCATGGGAAAGGATCTGGTGAACTGTTTTGTAGCTAAAGACCACCGCAGTGAAGTTCGTTTTAGCTTGCAAAAAGCGCTTCAAGGAGAGCCAACTGGTAACTTTGATTTCCCCCTCATCACAAAAGCTGGACGCAGAGTTGAGATTCTACTCAATGCGACACCACGGTACGACGAGCTGGGACAAATCTTTGGTGTTACCGGAATAGGTCAGGACATCACAGAGCGCATTGCCCAGGAACAGGAGTACATACGGCTGATTGATACTGCCAACGCACCCATCTTCGGTGTGGATAGTGAAGGCCGTGTAAATATTTGGAACAAGAAGGCTGCGGAGATTATGCAATACACGACTGACGCAGTGATGGGAGAGAAGCTTGTGGAAAAGTACATTACGAAAGACTATCAGGAGGCTGTAAGTAATGTGCTGTCGGAGGCGTTGAACGGCGTCGAGACGGCAAACTTTGAATTCCCATTGATCACAAAGACTGGTCGACGTGTTGAGATCTTGCTGAATGCCACACCACGATACAATGAGCATGGTGTTGTCATTGGTATGGTTGGCATCGGCCAAGATATCACGGAGCGCATTGCGCAGGAGCAGGAGTATACTCGTCTGATTGACACCGCAAACGCACCGATCTTCGGTGTGGATATCAATGGAAGAGTAAACATTTGGAACCGAAAGGCAGCCGAGACGACCCAGTACATGAATGCCGAGGTGCTCGGTAAGGACTTAGTTGCGGAATTTATCTCTGAGGAATACAGGGGTCCTGTCCGATGTGTGCTCAAGAAGGCGTTTCAGGGTGTTGAAACAGCCAACTTTGAGTTCCCGCTTATCACGAAGGCGGGTCGTCGTGTAGAGATCTTGCTAAATGCCACGCCTCGCTACAATGAACGTGGTGAGGTCATGGGTATGGTTGGTATCGGGCAGGATATCACGGAGCGCATCGCCCAAGAACAAGAGTATAGCCGTTTGATCGATACAGCCAACGCACCGATCTTTGGTGTGGATATCAATGGGCGTGTGAATATTTGGAATCGGAAGGCTGCTCATATTATGCAGTATACGAATGAGGACGTGTTAGACAAGGACCTAGTTGCCGAGTTTATCTCGGAGGAGTACAAGGTGCCTGTGCGTAGTGTGCTTGAGAAGGCGTTCGAAGGTGTGGAGACGGCAAATTTCGAGTTCCCATTGATCACGAAAGCTGGTCGTCGTGTGGAGATTTTGTTAAATGCAACGCCGCGCTACAATGAGCATGGTGAGGTCATGGGCATGGTTGGTATTGGTCAAGATATCACGGAGCGTATTGCTCAAGAACAAGAGTATACGCGTTTGATTGATACCGCCAACGCCCCGATCTTTGGCGTGGATATCAACGGCCACGTGAATATTTGGAATCGGAAGGCTGCAGACATTATGCAGTACACCAACGAAGATGTGCTTGGCAAAGACCTAGTCGTCGAGTTCATCTCGAATGAGTACAAGGTGCCTGTGCGTAGTGTTTTGGAAAAGGCCTTTGAAGGTGTTGAAACAGCCAACTTTGAGTTCCCGCTTATCACGAAGGCGGGTCGTCGTGTAGAGATCTTGCTGAATGCCACGCCTCGCTACAATGAACGTGGTGAGGTCATGGGTATGGTTGGTATCGGTCAGGATATCACGGAGCGCATCGCCCAAGAACAAGAGTATAGCCGTTTGATCGATACAGCCAACGCACCGATCTTTGGTGTGGATATCAATGGGCGTGTGAATATTTGGAATCGGAAGGCTGCTCATATTATGCAGTATACGAATGAGGACGTGTTAGACAAGGACCTAGTTGCCGAGTTTATCTCGGAGGAGTACAAGGTGCCTGTGCGTAGTGTGCTTGAGAAGGCGTTCGAAGGTGTGGAGACGGCAAATTTCGAGTTCCCATTGATCACGAAAGCTGGTCGTCGTGTGGAGATTTTATTGAATGCAACGCCGCGCTACAATGAGCATGGTGAGGTCATGGGCATGGTTGGTATTGGTCAAGATATCACGGAGCGTATTGCTCAAGAACAAGAGTATACGCGTTTGATTGATACCGCCAACGCCCCGATCTTTGGCGTGGATATCAACGGCCACGTGAATATTTGGAATCGGAAGGCTGCAGACATTATGCAGTACACTAACGAAGATGTGCTTGGCAAAGACCTAGTCGTCGAGTTCATCTCGAATGAGTACAAGGTGCCTGTGCGTAGTGTTTTGGAAAAGGCCTTTGAAGGTGTTGAAACAGCCAACTTTGAGTTCCCGCTTATCACGAAGGCGGGTCGTCGTGTAGAGATCTTGCTGAATGCCACGCCTCGCTACAATGAACGTGGTGAGGTCATGGGTATGGTTGGTATCGGTCAGGATATCACGGAGCGCATCGCCCAAGAACAAGAGTATAGCCGTTTGATCGATACAGCCAACGCACCGATCTTTGGTGTGGATATCAATGGGCGTGTGAATATTTGGAATCGGAAGGCTGCTCATATTATGCAGTATACGAATGAGGACGTGTTAGACAAGGACCTAGTTGCCGAGTTTATCTCGGAGGAGTACAAGGTGCCTGTGCGTAGTGTGCTTGAGAAGGCGTTCGAAGGTGTGGAGACGGCAAATTTCGAGTTCCCATTGATCACGAAAGCTGGTCGTCGTGTGGAGATTTTATTGAATGCAACGCCGCGCTACAATGAGCATGGTGAGGTCATGGGCATGGTTGGTATTGGTCAAGATATCACGGAGCGTATTGCTCAAGAACAAGAGTATACGCGTTTGATCGATACAGCCAACGCCCCGATCTTTGGCGTGGACACCAACATGCGTATTAACATTTTCAATCGCAAAGCTCAACAAATTACAAAATTTACAGCTGATGAGGTAGTCGGAGAGATGTATGTCGACACGATTATTTCACCTGAGTTCAAATCGGTTACGTCCAACATTATGGCCAAAGCGTTGCAAGGAAATGAAACAGCAAGCTTCGAACTGGCGCTAACCACGAAAACCAGCCGAAAAGTGAACATACTGCTGAACGCTACAGCACGGTTTGATCAGCATGGACAGATCGTCGGTGTAGTGGGAATTGGTCAGGACATCACCGATCGAATTGCACAGGAGCAAGAATATACGAGGTTAATCGACTCAGCCAACGCACCGATCTTTGGAGTTGACGTGAACGGCTGCGTGAATATCTGGAATAAGAAGGCTGCGGAAATTACGCAGTACACATCCAATGACGTGATGGGTGAGAATTTGGTGGAGAAATTCATTACGGAAGACTATCGTGAGGCCGTCCGGCTCGTTTTGTCAAAGGCTTGCGCAGGAACGGAGACCGCAAACTTTGAATTCCCATTGATCACAAAGACTGGTCGCCGCGTTGAGATCTTGTTGAATGCTACGTCGCGCTTCAACGAGGTCGGTGAAGTTATGGGAGTAGTGGGTATCGGCCAAGATATCACGGAGCGCATTGCGCAGGAGCAGGAGTATACTCGTCTGATTGACACCGCAAACGCACCGATCTTCGGTGTGGATATCAATGGAAGAGTAAACATTTGGAACCGAAAGGCAGCCGAGACGACCCAGTACATGAATGCCGAGGTGCTCGGTAAGGACTTAGTTGCGGAATTTATCTCTGAGGAATACAGGGATCCTGTCCGATGTGTGCTCAAGAAGGCGTTTCAGGGTGTTGAAACAGCCAACTTTGAGTTCCCGCTTATCACGAAGGCGGGTCGTCGTGTAGAGATCTTGCTAAATGCCACGCCTCGCTACAATGAACGTGGTGAGGTCATGGGTATGGTTGGTATCGGTCAGGATATCACGGAGCGCATCGCCCAAGAACAAGAGTATAGCCGTTTGATCGATACAGCCAACGCACCGATCTTTGGTGTGGATATCAATGGGCGTGTGAATATTTGGAATCGGAAGGCTGCTCATATTATGCAGTATACGAATGAGGACGTGTTAGACAAGGACCTAGTTGCCGAGTTTATCTCGGAGGAGTACAAGGTGCCTGTGCGCAGTGTGCTTGAGAAGGCGTTCGAAGGTGTGGAGACGGCAAATTTCGAGTTCCCATTGATCACGAAAGCTGGTCGTCGTGTGGAGATTTTATTGAATGCAACGCCACGCTACAATGAGCATGGTGAGGTCATGGGCATGGTTGGTATTGGTCAAGATATCACGGAGCGTATTGCTCAAGAACAAGAGTATACGCGTTTGATTGATACCGCCAACGCCCCGATCTTTGGCGTGGATATCAACGGCCACGTGAATATTTGGAATCGGAAGGCTGCAGACATTATGCAGTACACCAACGAAGATGTGCTTGGCAAAGACCTAGTCGTCGAGTTCATCTCGAATGAGTACAAGGTGCCTGTGCGTAGTGTTTTGGAAAAGGCCTTTGAAGGTGTTGAAACAGCCAACTTTGAGTTCCCGCTTATCACGAAGGCGGGTCGTCGTGTAGAGATCTTGCTGAATGCCACGCCTCGCTACAATGAACGTGGTGAGGTCATGGGTATGGTTGGTATTGGTCAGGATATCACGGAGCGCATCGCCCAAGAGCAAGAGTATAGCCGTTTGATCGATACAGCCAACGCACCGATCTTTGGTGTGGATATCAATGGGCGTGTAAATATTTGGAATCGGAAGGCTGCTCATATTATGCAGTATACGAATGAGGACGTGTTAGACAAGGACCTAGTTGCCGAGTTTATCTCGGAGGAGTACAAGGTGCCTGTGCGCAGCGTGCTTGAGAAGGCGTTCGAAGGTGTGGAGACGGCAAATTTCGAGTTCCCATTGATCACGAAAGCTGGTCGTCGTGTGGAGATTTTATTGAATGCAACGCCGCGCTACAATGAGCATGGTGAAGTAAAGGGTATGGTTGGTATTGGTCAAGATATCACGGAACGCATCGCTCAAGAACAAGAGTATACGCGTTTGATCGACACAGCCAACGCCCCGATCTTTGGCGTGGATACGAACATGTGTGTCAATATCTGGAATCGGAAAGCGGCACAGATCACGAACTACTCGATTGGAGAAGTTATGGGCGAAAATCTCGTAGAAACTTTTATATCTCCCGAGTTCCGACCTATTGTCGCTGAAGTGTTATCGCAAGCTCTTACAGGAGTTGAGACAGCGAACTTCGAGTTCCCACTGATTACTCGGCCAGGCACGAGAATCGAGATTTTGCTGAATGCAACACCAAGGTATGACTTGAACGGCAACATTGTCGGTGTTGTCGGTATTGGCCAAGACATTACGGACCGCATCGCCCAAGAGCACGAGTACTTTCGACTGATTGATACTGCAAACGCTCCGATTTTTGGTATCGATACAAATGGTCGCATAAACGAGTGGAATCAGAAGATCGAAGAGATCACAGGCTATCATAAGTCAAGCGTACTGGGGCTTTCACTGGTTCACACATTCGTCACCCCAGAAAGTAGACATCAAGTTCGCCAACTGCTAAATCAAGCGCTGATTGGTATTGATGTCGGTGAGATGGAGCTTCCGATGACAACGAAGCGTGGCGTTTTCCTGCTGCTTCTTGTGAATGCTTCAAGCAAAAAAGATATGCACGGAAACATTCGTGGTGTGATCGGCGTAGGACAAGATTACACGGCGAGGAAGCATATGGAGGCAGCTAAGGTGAATTTCTTGGCCTCTTTTAGTCACGAACTACGGACACCGCTGAATGGTGTATTGGGAATGCTAGAGCTGCTGAAAGAGCAATCTCTTGAAAAATCCGTTGAGAGATATGTGCACATAGCATACGTATCTGGGTCTCTTTTGCTGAACTTAATTAACGATATCCTGGACTTGTCAAAAATCGAGGCCGGGCATTTAGAAATATCGACGGCGCCGTTCCAGATGCATGACTTGCTGGACTATTCAATCGAAATATTCAAGTTTAAAGCTCGAGAACGAAAGCTACAGCTTGAGCTGAAGTGCGGTGATAATGTACCAAAGGCCGTGATTGGTGACGTCGTGCGCTTGCGTCAAGTCTTGTTGAACTTGCTATCAAACGCAATCAAGTTTACGAACGAAGGCACGATCACGGTCGCATGCAGCGTGGTGCAATCTCCTGAGTTGCCACAACAATTTAAGAAATTGCTTTTTCAAGTTATTGACACTGGCATTGGTATGGATGCAGAAGAAAAGACGCGTCTCTTTTCCTTGTTTACGAAACTGGAACGCACACGGCAGGAGAACCCGACGGGCTCTGGGTTGGGTCTTGCTATATGCAAGCAGCTTGCGGAGCTTATGGACGGGTCCATTGATGTTGATAGTGAGTTGGGTGTTGGTAGCAATTTCTTCTTCACAGTTGTGGTAAGGTTGATTGACGAAGTAGACCCAAAGAACGCTTATTATTTGTCAGAAGACTGCCAGGATCAATCAGTGGCAAAATTGTCACCTGATACTGCTGTGCACGCTGGAGAAAATGGCAAAAACTCACCGGCGCGAGTAGAGGTCCCAACCCAGGCGCGAATTTTAGTCGTTGAAGATAACGAGTTTAATTGGGAAGTGGTGAAATGCTTTCTTCAGCAAGACGATCACTTGCTGCAGTGGGAAGTTAATGGTCGCGATGCTGTGAAGGCTTACAGCGAAAACAACACAGAGTTCGATTTAATCTTCATGGATTGCGAAATGCCCATTATGGACGGCTATACAGCTACTGCTAGGATTCGCGAATACGAAGAGGCACATAACCTTCCACGCATCCCAATTCTAGGCTTAACTGCGTACGCCATGAGTGGCGATCGACAAAAGTGCCTTGACTGTGGTATGGATGAGTTCATGGTGAAGCCCATCTCAAAGCTGAGTCTTCGTAAAGCAATTCGGCAATGGATGCGCATCCGCTATCTTGGCCAGCACACCGTTGCTCTAGGAGCTCCGGCACAGGTTCTTGGTTCCACAAATGAATCGCATAAGTCAGTAACCCTTCGAAATGAGACTCGTCCTACAGTTAAAAGCCCAGCGCGGATCTTCATGCCATCGGCAGGCGCCCCGGCTCCGGTGGCATCATTTATAAGTGACCTCAAGGATGTTACACTTATGGACGCGGTATCAACGTCCAGACTTGCACCTGCATCACGCCACATGCAACAACTGGATCTTGCTCAGGCCATTTCGAATCTGGAGCTCGATGATCCGATGTCGATTGGTCTTCAAAGTGGTCGAGCTGTTCGAACTGCCACACCGACGACGTCGATCTTCAGCTTGGGTCCTTCTGTCAACAGCAATGCTTCGCGGACGGCAAACTCAAACGACTTACCGGATTTACTCAGATTATCGAGGAACACTAGTGGTGCTTCTACAACACCGAGCCCGCCGGAGCCTGCGAAACAACCGTCTGAGACGTCAGCTACGCTGCCTTGCCTTAAGACACAATTTGGTGGGGCCCTAGCTCCAGGTGATGCGCGGTCTTCATTGCCAGCAAACCCAACGCTCTGGAGTCACCCGCCGTTTTACAAGAATGATCTACCGACTGAAGAACAGGAATCCTGGCCTGGGCTCGTGCCTAAAAAGAAAGTCAGCTTCCATGAGGATTTTGATTGTGGATGGAGCCATCCGAGCCGATCGGGTCAAAGTAGCCGATCAGTAGCTGTGGTCTCACATTCGACCCACCCGATGAGCATTGAGATCCCTGAAGGAGACCCTGTAAATTACTCACTAGGAGTGGATCAATGTGGAGGGCATGAAGAGCTATTTTTGACGCTGTTGGAGAAGTTTGCTACAACATCGGAAGCTATCACGTCCCGGATTGTCAAGGCACACGAACGTAACGATTTTGCTACCGCTCGCCGTGAAGCTCATTCACTGAAGGGATCATCTGCCTATGTCGCTGCTCTTCGAGTATCCAAGTGCGCTTTTCGAGTTCAAGTTGCGTACGAATACCTGACGGCGCAGCAAGCAAATGGCGAAGGCTCGGACACGTTAGCTGCAAAGCAAATTGTAGACGACTCCGTACGATTGCTCACGAAAGAGCAGCGCTTGTTACGTGGATATATTGGACGCAACTTTGAGTTTCAGTCTAGATCCGGACCGTTTCAAGTATCGCCAGTCGATCATTCGGACGATGAAGATAAACAAACTGGTCCGTGTTGTCTTATGTAAGAAATCGACTCTGGTACCAGAGAAATTTCTTGCAAGAAGTCACGATTGAAGAAAAAAACAGAAATGTGTGGATGTGACGAGGAATGACAGGTGAACAATACAAATGGGAATTGTGGACGTGAATACGGTCGATGAAGAAAAGTTATGGAAATAATTGTGCTTTCGTTGGTATATAAAATGCAAATAAATTTTATCTTGCATTCTGTGACAATGTCGAACACCTTGATTTTTTATAAATACATATAATACTGCGTATGATGTTTAAAAAGAAATAGCGGTTGGTACGTTTAGCTTTTTTTTCTAAGGGAACTTGTATTTTACATGCTAAATTATATTTTGGAAGATCTGTTCATATAATCTCAGAGGTTTTAAGATCAATTTTTTGGTCTTAAGAACCCAAAAAGACTGCTCTTTTGGGTACCCGAATAGATGAGGCCAGTGGATCATTATTGCACACCTGTCTTCATCATAATGGGACTTTCCACTGGTTACAGACACGTCTGCTGTAGAAGAGGACGTGGGGCAACTTTGCACTAATTGTAATACCTACCACCATTGCAAAACAACTGAGTTAGTCATCAAGGTAGCCCGGAATTTTTGACCATAGGCTATGATACATGCAGTTTTGTTTTTATGCAGCAGAGTAGCTACTCAGTCAGAGTAAACACTGTTTCAATGCAACAAGCATGCCAGTCGCAATATTACTTGCACAACATCTCCTAGACTATATTAAGGCTGCACGCAGCTTTGCATTGGAGCTACAAAACGTGCATATCATTTCAAGCGGAAAAAATCTTGTTTTCTTCTTTGGGCGAGATGTGATCTTATACGTTCAAGTCTTTCCCGTTTGCTTCTACTTTCTTGTACCGATCTGCTTTTAACCATCCTTCGTACGTGGTTGCAACTTGCATCCACTTTTCATTGAAACTGTGACGCCAAAATAGTTGAAACGGTGTCACTTTTAAAGCTTTAAATATCGTGAAGATCACCGTGGTCATGAATGGTAACTCACTCTTGGATACATCGACCATTCCAACAGCTTGATCCAGAAACGCAACTTTGATGGAGTCGACAGACGGGAGACGTGGAAGAGACTTGGGAGACGGAAGACGTGGAAGAGACTTGAGAGACAGGATGCTGTTACTTGAGCTGGCTTCGACAGACGGGATGCTGTGACTTTCGACAAGCGGAATGTTGACCATATCGTGAGACGGGGGAAGTACTCGCTCCTCTTCAGTAGTAATTAACTTGTCGTCAGTGCGCCGCAAATTCCTCGCGTCTTGTTCATTGTTCTTCGCCGTCAGTAAGTCGGGTTCCGAGGTTTTGATTGCCTCAAGGTTTACCGGGTACGAAGCATTAGCTCGAAGTACGACACAAACCACAACGTAAACCGACAACAAAAGACGCATACGGGAAATTTGGGTGCAGTTTTCTACAGAGAGAAGCTCGGTGGAAATAGACGTAGAAGCAAAAGTGAAGCGGCGTGTCTGAAGTTTTTAAAACTATTCAGTATGATATCCGTGCTCCATAACACACTTGTCATATGCACCAGTCCTCCTGCAAGCAAGAATAGTCATGTCTCAAAACTTTACACTCCTCTTGATATGTCGACGTGTGTTACAGTGCGGGCGCAGGATAGTCCCGTATTTTCCAAGCTGCCTGACTTTAGGTCAATTTATTATGGTGTTTGGCTTATGGATGTTGACTGCCAGTGGAGTCAAGCTCGCATTCAAATACAATTTCTCGTGAGCAGCCTGGTCCACACTCAGACGTACGCCGAAAACCTGTCGAGCGAAGCCAGCCACACGCTGCTATGCCTTTGGGCGACAGATAACGGAAGAGCACCATGAGGAGATGGTGAGCAGACGACGAGGAGATGGTGAACATACGACGAGATGCAGCTAGCTTGGAACTGATCTTTCTATTGTCTTCATTCCTTATGTGACTTTCTCTTTTTTGTGTCCTTCTCTTCACATTTAACCGGATTGTATACCGTTTTTAAACCGATTTGGTGAAATTTCTCAACAATTCTATCAAATTCATGCGCTTTGACTATCTTGAGCTGTGTCAGATTCATCTCGTATCCAGTGTCTTACACTAAAATTGACTCGACTATTCATCTACAACTTTCTTGATAAAGTCACATGAAACACCTCCTATAAGCATGTCGTCAACCTACAACGTCACGTAAACCCATAAAATATGTCATTTACGACGAACAAATATGCACGAATTCGAAACACATGCCACAAAACCCATGTTCTCAAAAAGCTTGAGATCGGTTTGAACCACGTTGCAGCAGCTCGTTTTTAGCCCGTACAAGCTTCACTTTTGTTCTAACACTTGATTGGTAGCATGTCGAAGCCTTGAAGCGTACATCTTTTTCTAAGACACCATTGATAAATGCAGTACTATTGTATAACCATTCCATGATGACAACACGCTACAAGGTAGACGCGAATTCGTGTTCGTGACCGAAAAGTTCGTATCGTAATAGTCAACTCCATAGGTTTGTCGATAACCCAACGCCGCAAGTCGAACCTAGCGTTATGACCCGTTACACTTGGTGGGCGGTGTTGCAGAATGATTGCGTGAACAGGCTAAAGGCAAAAACCGAAACGTCATGCATGAACCCGCAGCAAATAGATCATCAATGGCTCTGATGTCTTCTTATCACGTAGATAATACCTACTCGATAACTTTTGGTTTCTGTTGTCATGTGACCATCACATGTGCATAGTGCAGAGCCAGTTACAGCCAGAAGTTGACTACAACCTCGGGACGTTCAACAGTTAGAAACATAGGGATCAAACTGAGATTATTGGTTCATCCTCGATAAACGTATATCGTGTCGATGCCCGGATGCAATTTCAGCGAGCGAGGTTGCATATGAGCACGCTAACGTGTAATTAGCACTGAACGAGGCGAAGCGGCGAGGTCTGCTTTATGACAAGACAGAAATGATCTTCTTGTTTGATCTGAATGAGAACGCGATGCTGGACGCGCTTCGATACAGCAACAAAAGCAAGTTCATCAATCACGAAAAAGACACGCCGAATTGCACAGCGAAGGCAGTGAGTGTTTGCGGTGTGCACCACATCACGACATGGGCATTGCGCAACATCGCGGTCGGTGAGGAGTTGGTTTTCGACTATGGATACAAGAAAAAGTGTTGCTCCGGACTAGAGAAACGGCGCCGAAGGGTACCAGATGAGTTACAGCAAGCGGCGTTTACAGCTCGACTAAATGGGCATCGAGGATAGCAGGCTGGAAAAAAGACAAGAAGCAAACAAGCGGTTGATAGGCTAGCTGCCACCGCATGCTTGAGCTGAGTGCTCAGTCTAAAAGTACCAAGATCCCAGCAAGTGAACTATCGTGAAAAAGAATCACGTTAAGTAGAAAGCATATTGTGTGTCAGAAGTTACGCATTTTGTAAGAACAGGAGCGCCGTTCTAACTCATCCGAGCTCTAGCGAGCCGCAAATGCAATAGTGTGGGCTCATGCGTACTTAAGGATATCTTGTTTAGACTTCTTAAGGTGCTTCACTATGTTTCACGAGGCGTTCATGGCGGACTCAATTAGGCTTCAGCGACATAAGCAGAATTTTAAGACGAAGATTCCCGCCATGTATCAGCCGCCTGACAACGAAGTGTTGCTTCAAGCTCGCTTCTTTAAACCACGACATGCGATCTCTGCAAGAGTATGTGCAGGCAGATATGTACTCGCTGTCGGCATCCATTACTGTGGATCTGATACCGGCATATTAAGGTTCCCACGTTCATAATTGAACTTTGGCACGGCCCATCGCGTCAGAATTTTTTTCAAAAAGGTGCCGTCGACGATGGAAGAGGCAATTGGGAATTCCTCGGCTGAGAAGAAATCCTACAACAGTGCCTCAGCGACAGCTTGGTAAGATTCCTCTGCCGAAAGGGTGGGATACCACTCCACTGGAACTGGGCAATGCAGACGTTATTTGCTATAAATGCGGCAAGTATGGCCATGTGATGGTGGCTCGTTGCTATACCAAAGTAGCCGCTGGTGGGCCCCCCCTGGTGCAGTGGTTAAGCACCGACCTGATAACCCAGCGGTCACTGGTTCGATCCCCGCAAGCGCAAGACTTTCCATACCCCTGGGGTCCCGGGTATCAGAGAGCACTACCGACCTCTCCATGCGAAGTTAATCAGCCCTTTCAGTACATGTGTTCGGCAAGTGACATTTACTCCCGAAAATGCATACCTGTGAGAACGAATCCTACCGACCTCTCCTAGCGAAGTTAATAAAAACCTTGGTTTGATATAAAAAGTATAATGAAAAACGTATTAAACCAAAGTAGCCGCTGGTGATAAAACGTCGGCCCTATCCGAAGGATGATGCCAAGAACCAGCGTGCACGACGCACGGGTTTAGCATCGAACACGCGACCATCCGCTGTCTAATCGCAAACGCCTTAACTTCTTTAGTTGATCAACATGATGCTCAGGTTGAATGCTTAAAAGATTTAGCTACCAAGTCTATGAGCCAAATTCACAGCCACCTCTTGATGATGTTCGGAGAGGTGAGTAAAGTAAGCGGAGTAGACATTGAGACGAATTTTACGCACACGCTCGCATGCTCAGAGATTCGAGTTGAGGGAAGGGCTACTAGTGCTACCGAGAGTAGGCGGGTGCTTTTACATGCTGCCACATACTACAATCACGTATCTTCTTGCACAATCGAGGAAGATTTAAGACCGTCTTATCACGCGTACGGAGGTAGTGGTTGGTGGGCATCTAAGCATCACACACTACAAACTTTGCGTACTACGCACTAGTGTTGTCACGGAAGCTGTTTCCAACTTCCTCGTGCGTACTGTAATTAGACCACCGTCAAAATCTATGTCGGGAGGATTGTTCCATTGATCCAGTCTTATTGATTTATAAATGGTCCATGGCTGAGCTTGCGTTGGGGCCTGAAACTGGTGGACCTCCCACCGTTTCAGCGGGTTGTGATGTTTGTGGCCTTTTTTGGAAGAGAATTAGGAGTTGATTTTCTCCTTCAATCGGTTACTGTTTTCACCTTCCTCTGGCTTTGTACGTAGACGATAAAAGCCTGGTACATTGGGTCCAACGGCTGTGAGTCGCCTGTTGGAGATATACTAAAATAGGGTCCCCTGCATCTTCATCTTTCACCTGGACGTTACTACATTTACGAAAGAAGCTTAATGGCTTCGGAAGCATGGCCAAGCATTTAGAATTTTCGGGGTCATGTCGCAGAGTCCCGAAACCATTCGATATTATATTTTGGGTCCAGAGAGGTAAATACTCCATCCCATTAATAGATGGATGGATGACTTACCTTAGAAAAGCTAGTTAAGGATCGATGGTGAGTGAAAAATGATGGGCAGAAGGGAAAATTACTTAACAATTTCGTTTTAGTAATGTATTGATTATATTAATGATCCGGATGGTACTCTATGATCTTGCGATCCCGGCAACCATTCCGCCTTCCCCAGCAGGGCAGACGTGTTCTCAGACGGAGCATTACTGACTTTTTTCGGGAATCTAGATTAGATTGTGTGTTTTAAGAAAATGTACATGAATCTCGGCCCTTTTTAACGTCAATCTAACTCGATTTGTAAGCGGGGGGAAAGTAACGGTTTCCTACGTAAATCGAGGTTTTCAGTAAGACTTCCAAACAACTGCATCTCTTAGTAAGTTGTTATTGAAGTCAGAAATAGACAACATTATGTCAGCAACAATATGCTGGTCGCCAGATTTCCGATGTGGATGTATGGATGTCCGCGATTTTTTTGGATATGTATCTAGACCATTCGGTATCTATATATCATAAAAATACATTGAGCCCATGTCCGGTCCAAATTTCATGGATAGACCCCCCTAATCTGTGATTATAAGCAAAAAAGTGTAAGACTGATTTATATGCGGGAGCCGTTATGACCACGACACTACGACCACAGACAATCAACACCGCAAATCACAGCTCAAAAGATTCAATTGTAAGTGCTCACTTCAGACAATCACATCATTTGTTTACTGTTACAGACAATTCAATTGTATCTACGCATTGCAGCCCATCAAATTACTTGTTTATTTGTACACACGAGCTTCTGCTTCTTATTTGCGTTTCATGTTATGTTGATCGAGCGTAAAACAGTTTCTTTATCTGAGCGTTCAACTGCTTTGTATGAGGGATATGGAAAATGCTCAATGAATCTAAATATTGTAACGGTAGTTGCTGTTGATGAGAATACTCGACAGGGTGACATTCCACTGCCGCGAGAGGTTGACTTTGACCCGTAACAATACTCTTCTTGTAGCCATAGTCGAAAACCAACTCCTCACCGACCGCGATGTTGCGCAATGCCCATGTCGTGATGTGGTGCACACCGCAAACACTCACTGCCTTCGCTGTGCAATTCGGCGTGTCTCTTTCGTGATTGATGAACTTGCTTTTGTTGCTGTATCGAAGCGCGTCCAGCATCGCGTTCTCATTCAGATCAAACAAGAAGATCATTTCTGTCTTTTCATAAAGCAGACCTCGCCGCTTCGCCTCGTTCAGTGCTAATTACACGTTAGCGTGCTCATATGCAACCTCGCTCGCTGAAATTGCATCCGGGCATCGACATGATATCCGTTTATGGAGGATGAACCAATAATCTCAGTTTGATCCCTATGTTTCTAACTGTTGAAAGTCCCGAGGTTGTAGTCAACTTCTGGCTGTAAACTGGCTCTGCACTATGCACATGTGATGGTCACATGACAACAGCAACCAACACTTATCTTAAGAAGCGAGTAAGCATCATGTCAACTGTCACTTCAAAGAAGCTGTCACGTGCTACACTGGCACACACCTTCAAGCACGCGAGGAAGCGGATAAATCGTCTAACCTCCGTGCGCGGTAGTGGGGTGGTTGGTCGACCGCTTTAGCGGTAGCACCAACGGTGCCGGTCGCCGAAGCGAATCGCGCAACAGACTTCAAATAAGTGCTTCCCTTTCGCCACGCAGAAGCTTATTCAGCATCTCGTGGGCAGTATGCGATACTTAGCAAACTCAAGAGTGTAATATATAGGGAATTGCTATTTCCACCACAGTTTTTGCTATTTCCACCACACCATAACTTTGACGCATTTTTACTATTTCCACCACACCATAAGCTTTGTTTAAATAACAAAACAAAACAATCACCACATCACACCACCACATTACATCATAATTAAGCTCTTCACACTGACCGACGTATATTCGCCGAACATTCTGAGCTTGTGCGCCGGGAAAGACATGACAGACGTGCCTAGTGACGGATCCTGCAAGGCAGCAGGATGTCCTTACAGATGTTAATAAAAAATTAACAACTTTACGTTGAATCAGGCAATGATAAAACTGAAATATATGATGCCTGGATTAGGTTTAGTAAATGAGCTAATTATATTGGTCATGGGTCAAGATGTGGCGAAGTCGCATTCACATTAAACAGATCGTCGCTTTTTTACGCAAATTTCTAAGCGCATGTTAAGGTTTGCGGCGCCACGACCAGCACGAATGGTTCATCTGTTGCGTCCCCCCTTCTTCAACCATTTTAATTAGCTTCTTGCTCTTCTTCATGTCCCTTCTTGAAAAAACCTCGTTTAAGGATTTTGCCATGGGTATTGTGGCAGATACCTGACAGTTATAAAGATGAGTCTGCAGAGACTGACGGTTTTCGATAGCACTAGTAATTACATTGCAGCAGATTGACCCCACAACTTGGTTAAACATATTAAATAATTCCAGCAGCAAACGTCGTACTTCGTCACCATAATGTCCATTAGGAGTGGCTATAATTTCTCATAAATTGACGCTACAAGCAACCAAGCAACCAGAACGCACCGCAATGCCCATGTCAGCACACAGGCATTAAATTTGTGCTTGTTTCCCGCGCACTTCTAGTCAGGTCCTAATGTAGAAAGCGCATCATGATAACTTCAACGCAATCCGTACAAAGCCTATTGGGGCGCGGTGTGTGCTGTGGTGGTGTAATGTGGTGTTGTACAGTGTTTTGACATTGTAATAAAAGTTATATTGTGGTGTAGATAAAATATATGTACAAAAGTGTGGTGGAAGTAGCAGTTCCCTATATATAATAGAATCTCGTTAGATATATATATAACTACTGATTGGTTATATATATGATGGAGCCATCTCTGAAAATGTACATCCCAATGTGCGAGCTTAAATGTATCATAGCTCACTTAATGACTTAACTGACTGACGGACGTCATTTGATGACGCCTAGTCCCAGCGGGGCGTCATCCCCATCAATGTGAATACACGTAGTGTATATCACATACACAAGGGTGTGAAACCTGGTGTGTCTCACCCAAGCAACAGTTCTTAAGTACTTACGTACCTTTTTAGAACTGCCCGTTAAGATCGCATACTTAACGGACTCGTGTAACTATTGGCCCGTTACACATCATCATAGTAACTTGCTGGGATCTTATGCTTTCCAGACAGAGCACTCAGCTCATGCGTGGGGTGGCAGCTAGGCTGTTCACTCCTTGTCTTTTTTCCAGCCTGCGATCTTGGATGCCCATTTGGTCCACTCGTCCCATAGCTGTAGACGCCGCTTGCTGTAACTCATCTGGTATCTTTCGGCGACGTTTGTCGCCGACTCCAGTCCGGAGCTACACTCCTTTTGTAGCCATAGTCGAAAACCAGCTCCTCGCCGACCGCGATGGTCCGCAATGCCCATATCGTGATGTGGTGCACACCGCAAACGCTCACTGCCTTCGCTGTGCAATTCGGTGCGTCTTTTTCATGATTGATGAACTTACTTTTGTTGCTGTAGCGAAGCGCGTCCAGCACTGCGTCCTCATTCAGATCAAACAAAAAGCTCATTTCTGTCTTGTCATATATCAGACCTCGCCGCTCCGCCTCATCCTGCGATACCATCGCGCCAGCGTACTCATACACAAACTCGCCCGCTGCAATTGCTTCACGCGCATACATACCATATCCGTGGATATCCGAAAAGCTTATACTTAGCCGTTTGTGTTTCCCACGAATAACGCTCATATTGTCACACGTCTTGGCTTTTGTGATGGTTTTAAGCGCCATTGCCACCACCATTTCGCTTGAGCCGCATGATACGCAAACGTCAGGGTCGCACTCGCGTAAAGCTGCATAGCACTGACACAAGCTTGTACGGCATTCACCTGGCGTACAGGTACATCCTTCAAATCTACGGACAGAAAGCAAGAAGTCAGCGTATTGCTTCAGCCTGTTCTTTCTTTCTACGGCCAGAAACCGGCTCGATAATATAATCGTTGCAGTGACTAATGGACATTGTCGCACAATGTCGCGTTGCACGCACCTATTTGGACAATCACGAGAGCAGGCGCAAGCCTTCTCGCACATGTGATCGCGCTTCATGCATGAGCAGCCAGTGGAGTCGCACAAACCCTCGTGCATGCATGGTTTGTACTCGTGGTTCTCCGTACCTCGATCCTGCAAACGCTGGTCTCGAGTCCTCCGTAGCAGCTCGTGGTTACCCCCGCCTAACGTTTGTCCTTGCTTCCAACTGCGCAAACGAAGCCACGATCTCCCAAGGCCCTCTGTCTTTTGGCTTTCGCCGCTAGAACGCTCTTTCTGCATAAACTGGTGTAGTTCTATGCAGGAGCTATTTCCACCAACAACAGCAGCCAACAAGCACGAGTTATCACCCATCGCCTCGCGAAGCTTTCGAATCAAGCCTAGCTCCGCTGGTGACAATCTGTTATGCAGGTCATCGGTGAAGTTGCTATTTTTCCGGCACAACTTCCCACATGCACTGCGCGTCGACAAAAATGAACGCATCTTTGGCGCCACCAGCGATATATGCGAAGTGTCCACGTACTCGGACGGATCAGCGGTCGTCGCGTCTTCGCTCATGTCTATAACATCACTAAGACCGCCTTGATCCTGCTGCACTTTGGGTACAGATTGCTCCCGCTGAACATTGCTGGCTACTGGAGTGTCGGCGAGTCTAACCTTTCCTGCAATCTTGTTAACCACGTTCTCATCCAACGCAACCGTTGAAGAAGCAGCTTCATCTGGTAAATGATAGTGTGGAACCAGCCGAACACGGGGGTACGTAGGCTCCATGCGCCTGGTCGGCAGCGGGTGGTCGCCACCGTGTTCGTGACATGCGTACATGTAGCACATCCGGCAGAACGAGCAAGTATACACGCCGACCAGCTTGCTGTAGGAGTCTGACGCACGTAACCCCAGTGCTTTCATGCTCGCCGATGCGCTTTCTACGAGATTGTCTACGACGTTTGACTCGAAGTTACCTATTGGTGGCTGCAAGCGTCGCCTCAATTTTTTCGCGCTACTGGCATTTAGTAACGACCACTGCTCCATCAACTTAACGATAGCTGTGACGTTAGGATCCGCCGCGCGCGATCCGTCACGACTAAGCTTTTTCACATGGTCCAGTCGGGCACTTGCTTGCACCCTTGAGTTGTGCAACTTTTTCAATTCACTGTACGCCGTGAATGCGTGAGTGAAGTTGAGCTCGCTCTTCAATGCGTGAAACACCTGCTCCGAGTCGCCAAGACGACGAACCACTAGACGCAAGACATACTCCGCCACCTCGTCGTCGGCCACGCGGCCGATTCGTAGATCATGCTTCTTCGTTAACTCACCACCACCGCTTCCGCCGTCAGTTCTGTGCTGTCTAACTTTAGCCGCGTAGGGCAGGATCGGATCGTCTTCAACACGATAGTTGGTACGCAGCCCCACGCTCGTTGTATACCTTCGTAGCGGCCGAATCTCTTGGACAGCATTCACCTGAACAAGCGCCGATACAGTCCTTTCTCGCACGAGCCCGTCACCACGCCCGACCTGGAAGGAGGCACCACCGAAGCTTGAATTGAACGTGTGCTCCACGGACTTAAGATGTTTCACAGCGCGTTTCTCCGGATAGGAGCGAAGCAAATAGTGTGGTGTCAATCCTACAAAAACATTTGCGCGGTAACGTTAGCAAACAAATGACAAGTGTACTAAAAAAACTACGTCCATACTCTTGTCACCGCCTGTAATCCTGTGTGACTTCACTTCTGCTTGGTAAGCAAAAATCTTCTGTCGAGCCTCTGACAAGATAGCTTGTACCTTTCTTCGATAACAGAGGCGGATAATGGGGAGATATGCCGTCACCAAGGAGTTCACCGAGCGAGTAACATCACTTTGTGAGTTAGCCGCTTCGCTTGGGAACACGGACGAAATACACTGGGTCGGTTTGCCAAAGCTCTCCAAGATTGAGCAGTAACTGATCAGCGTGTTGGTTTCGTCTGCAAAAAGCAATCGCAACAGCGCCAACAATTGGTAAGCCACGGATCTCAAAGCAGCAGACAGCACGAATATGCAAGACTTCCAAGACAATCAGCAGTACTACCATAGCTTACCATAAAATGCAAGCGAGTGGTCGCAATTTGACTCAAAAGGTACACTGCATTTGTGACCACAAACAAAATTTGACGGGGCCTCATCGAAGAAGACACCGCGATACGATGTGGAGTGGAGCATCGCAGTGTGAAATCCATCAACACGACTCCTCTTGACTCTATGTGAAGGCTTCGCCTTTGTCGCAATTTGCCATTCATTGTTTTGTCCTTCCTTCGAGCCAACTACGCTCTTTGAATCCGAACAATCATCTACGCAAAGCCCCTGACGACACGTTTGCGACTTTCTAGTAGCCCTCTTCAAGGAACGGGATCGATTTTGCGACTGTTTGCGCTGCGCCTGGATCCACGCAAGCTCTCGCTCCTGAGCCTGCAAGTCGTCAAGCGACACTCGATCTGCATTGAAGCGAGACAACACCCGCCGCATCTTTCGCGGAACTGCCGACGGGGACAGCGAAGCCAAAGGACACACAGACACTTCAGGTGCAGGTTGCGATACTGTAGAAGTTACCGTCTTAAAGAGTGCCATACTGGCAGAAACAGGTGTGCGACAATCAATTTGCCTCAACACGTCGGCTTTTCCTTCATGCGCTTGGCTCGCTAAGTGTGACGCAAAAGGCGGTTTTGCCACAGTTTCATGCGATGTTATCTGTCTTGGTAACGAGGCTGGTGAAGGTAAGGCTGATGCTATTGACGCTCCTGACGACAACACAGACACCGGCGCGTTCTGTTCCAAGGTCGTGGACTGTAATCTAGCGTCTAGAGGTTGCCTGCCGTCCATATTAGTAACATTTTTTACGTCACTCTTCTTCGCTGACAGTATTCCTGGTGCCAGACCTCGTTTCTTGACTTCACCAGTAGACTCTGATTGCATCTGTGGCAACAAGCGCTTGCGTTTTCCACCACGTAATACTTTCTTTGCTGAATGTTTACTTCCATTCAACAAAAGCTTGGCGTGTTGCCCAGAAGTTCGAGAAGCCAGGGGCTGGTTTTCTTTTAGTACACGATCAGTCAGCATCAGTTGCTTCTGTCCAGCCTTCACAGACGTCTTTGTCGGCGTCTCACTACCCGACGAGTGGCAGACGAGAGATGTATCAGAAAAGCTGGAGGAGGAAGAAGATAACAAGTCAACGATCTCATTCTGGATTACCATCTTTGCTGGATCAACAGTGGCTCGACGTCGATGCTGTTTCTGCCGCCAAAAGCTCGAGCTCTTTTCCTTGGTACGCTCAATGATTGGTCGCACTCGCCGTTGTTCGGTAACTCCAAAGTGACAACGCCAAGACCCAGAACCCGAATCAGAACTAGAATAACCACTGGAGCTATTGGACCTCACTCTAGATCGGCGTTTTGCTCCATCTTTTCGTCTATGCACAGTCTTCTGATTGTTCCTCATGTCTTGATAATTAATGGCGGATCTCGACGCACTCTGCCGCCGTTCAAAATCTTGCTGCTGTCGTCTCCGGCCAATTTTCTGCTTTGTGGACAGATTATTGGTCTTCTTAGACAGCAGTGGAGGCGCAGAAATCGCCTTCATTTCTTTTCTTTCGGTGGAGCTGTGACTGTTGGCCGACTCCCTTGTCTCTAAAGCCGCCGCCATCGCCAGCGCAGTCTCCACTGCATTCGTGTAGCTGATGGACTGTTCGCGTCCTTGCGACACTGCTGGCGATGCGGGGGGTGTCTTAAATGCTGATACTCGCCCCATCTCGACTTCTGACGACGCGTCACTGCTGTCGTCAAGTACGATCACCACCATTTGCTCTTGATCTTGTGTAGACGCGAAATGGATCGTACATTCAACTGATTGGATGAAAGGAAACCTCGAGGCTTTGTATCAAACATAAGACCGTTAGTCAAGTTACTAGTTTTTACAGTAAATTGCTTTAAATTACCCATCTAAAGTACGATTTGTCGAGATTTGTCACTTGATTCCTCAAAAAATCACAGTCAACACGTCGATATTGCTGAACAATGAACTCGCTATTGTTCCTGTACTTGAACTTAATCCGCGGTCCTCAGATCTTGGCTGCTCGCCTTCAGCAGGAGGAAAGAGAGAAGCGTATGCGGCTGGAGGAGGAGATTGCGCTTGGCAAAGTGCCAAATATGGTGAGTTGTAAGAAGTGCGACGTGCCCGTGGACCGCCTGTCGGTACCCGTCAAAGGTACCCCCACATGTACCGCATGTCTGGCCAAGGAAGCGGAGGAGATGCATACGGCCAAGATGGAGATGCGAAGGGAGATCAAGATGTCGCCTTTCCTGTGGTTTCAAGTATTTATCGTGTTCCTCGGCCTCACTGTCTTCATCCATCGCAACATCGTGCCGTTGTATTACTAAACATCATAGATGATGATTATAAAGTTTTCATCATTGCGTCAGACTCTTTGCGTTCAAAGAATTTCTTGCTTGGTGTTATTCAGCACATACGAAGTAATAGCACTCAGCTCTTCCTTATCACTTTGTTTATGCATTGCTTACCAACAGCACTTGCTGTTTTCTTCATTGACGCAGAATATATATGCTTGTATATAGATTCCTGCGTTTTGGTGATTGCGTAATAGGAAATCAAGCCTGGAATCTGCTCGTTGTATGCAAATTCTATTAGGTCCTGGATGTAAAAACTCTAAATTTGCGACAGTATGAGTGGTAGGAACGATGAAAAGATTGGGCCGATCGACGCCGCTTCGGGCGGGAAACGGCAGCGCAATGAAGACGAAGAAGGTGTGTGGCTGTCTACTTATACGCGTGGCGATTGCCCTGGTGTGGAGTATACTGACTACGACATAACAGACATGGGATCGCAGCAGAGCATTCTCAAGTGGATGCGCCACGTACCAGGGCCACTGCAGGATATCATGAAGAAGCGCGCGGACCTGTGCGTGTAGTAATGTCAACGATTGCAATAAGTGGAGCAGTAAACTGACACTAGAGTGCAGACTGGACAACTCACAGATAGACCACAACTGCATCGCCAGTACTAACTCGGATCGTTTTTCGGTGGCGATAGCGACAGTGTTTGATCATGGTCCGTGGGTGGATATGTGCCAGTACTTAGGCATGCCGGCTATGTCAGGGATGCTTTACGGTGAGTTTTCCAGCTGTGACGATAGGTGCAGTTTGATGTGGATAATGTGGTGTTGGTTCAGGCAACATCAAGATTCGTAGTCTAAAGCACACAGTGCAGAGCATCGTAGAAGACGATGAAGCTCTTGCAAAGGTGCCACAGGTAATGAATTGCGCTACTTAGTTCTCAGTGTACTGCATTCTTACTGCTGTTGTTGTTTGTTCTGCTGGAGGTAGCTCTTAGTGCTTATTAAGTCGGTGCATTATGTTGACGAAGAAATTGTCGCTGTGCTGCATGTAAGAATAAAACTGATTTTCTAGTGTACGAGGCTGGCACTTATCGTCGGCGGCGTTTGCTACTCATTTCTGAAGGACCCGACGGGAGAAGTAGAAGGCTATTTCCATCGAGAACTTATTGAGCATCTCGGACCAGCTCTCGTTGCTGGTGTCGGTGTTCTGCTCCACAAGGTGTCGGTTTTTACGCCCACTGATGCACCGGTTACAGGAAGGCGAAAGAGCTACTTGAATATCACACCGCAAAACGTCCGCCAAGTTTTCATCTCGAAAGATCCATTGAATGGTACCACAACCAACGATACAGTTGACATATTCAACAAAGAGAAAGAGATCGAGTTTCAGCAGGAGAGTGACAATGACCACTACAACGAAAGTAAGACGTCCGAAAACGAGCTGGGAGCACGTAAATTCCTGCAAAAGCGCACCGTTTGCGACACTTCAGCTGAATTGACTTTCCTTTCGCAACGGCAAGTAATCCATCGCAATCCACCCGTACGAGCGGATCCTGCGGCAGCGCTGACAACTGAAAAGAAAGGCAAGCACAAAAAGAGCCGTAAGAACCAAGACGAAGGGAGTGGCCTGGGAAAATGGCAATGGAGCAAATTACTCCCAAAGACAATTGACGAGAACAATGACGATTCAGCCATGGATTCAACTCGGGCTCAAAAGCGTCGCGACTTGCTGGATGCTGGCTCGCACCTGGTTAGCCTGATTACGAAGCAGAATACACAAAAGAGGTACGCTGTCATTGTAATGACAGCAAAAAGGGTCTGTTTGTTAAGACGTGTGATTTTCACATGTAGGTCATCAATGACAGAAGACGATTCGACATCAACAGGTTCCGTGATGCCGATGAAACCCGTTAGTGTTCGCTTTGCGCCAGGAACGGTAGGTGACACACCGTCAATATCTCGCAATTCCAACAGCGGTGTCGTAATCGACCTTACACAAAGAAGTCTGTCGTTACAACCCCACTCAGCTTGCAATGCATTAGTTAATGATAGCGAAAGTACCATGGCCTTGGCTGGAGAAGATGAAGAGGACGAAGACGAAGACGAAGATTGGTAGGTAGGTGTAAGTTACATAAACTGAACCATGAACACTCGTCGATGAAGGTTAAAAAGTAGCATGCAGTGTTTGATGACGCTTCTTCCCTTTTGCTCTCGGAAGAGCCGTTGAAAAAGAAACCGAAGCTTCATGTTGATCCCCGCGCGAAGGAGAAAAAGGGTCGCGTTTTGCGTCCCATGAAATTCTCTATGGATCAGCTGACAGCGCTCGAAGCATGGTTCCTGTAACGGGGCACCCTCCGACTATACTGATTACAGTATAGTCTACTTTCACTGATTACAGTGAAAGCAGGTGCCTCAATTACCTCTCTTACACAAGAGGCAGAGGAAGCTTTACTTCTAAACAAACGCTTAGAAGTAGAGGAAAAGAAAACTGTATTTAATATAGTTAACTATCTTAATAAAACTAATCTGTTATAACCTATGTTAACTATATTAAACTACAACTATGTATGTTGACAACTTGCCCTCCACTCATTGCGCGCGTCCATCGGTCATTGGTCAGCGCGTTGGTTGATATGATGGCCCATATCAACCAATAAATAATAATATTTTTATTGACACTTCATATAAGTGTCAATATTATGTAACGAGCTCACCCGTTACATCACCCCCCCCCCCTCAACCAACAGTCACATTAGTGACTGTTTAGTGACTATGGAAAAGGAGAACTTGTTGAATTTTCTTTCATTCAACAATTACGCTATGACAAAGTCAATGCGCGTCGCTGCTAAGGCAGCCAAGAGCTCGGCTGCACGCCTGTGTGCAGCCGCTACTGAGGCTTCACAGCCTCAGCCAGCAGACACTAATGTGTCTGCTGGAAGTCAACATCAGCCTGCAACGCCTGTTGCAGGTTCACGTAGCGCTTCGCCACGTGAAGATGTTGACCCAGAGTTAGTCGTTGACTACTCTGGTGAGTCGGATCACGCATCCGGCTCAAAGTCACCTATTCCACTCCCGGGCTCTCCCCGGGGTGATACCTCGTCGTCTAATGCTACGAAGAGGGATCGTGGTACATTGAGTGAGTCAATGTACCGTGAAATGTTCGGGTCGTCTGATGAATCAGACGTCTCGCCAAACGAGTCGAAGGATAGTGACTCGGGTGGGGACCGTAAGGGTGATGTCAGTGCTTCTACTGACATCAATAATCATAGTGTCTGTACTTCTGTTGACACTAATGCTCGTGGTGTCGGTACTTCTGTTGACACCACGCAGGAGGCTTTAGATCGCAACGTATTGCGTCTTGCTCCTGATCGCAAGCCATGGATGCTACCTAAGCATCTGCTTGATCGTTGGTCTGGAAAGACCAGCGAACGCTTACCCATACCGTTGTTTGATGTGTCAAAGCTTCATGGCCTTGACGCCAGTGCGAAGAACTTTCGCACTGAGAACGATTATTACATCGATGTGTCCCTTGAACATCGATGGTATGGCCCACACAAGAAGCGTGAGGCCGACGCGTTCCTCCAATCTTGGAACGCGTTTATCACCAACGTTTTAAACGTTGGGAAAGAGGCTTGGTTTCAAAGACTTTATGCTAGCCGCAATAAGTTTGAGAAACGAAGTACGTCCTGTGCATGCTATCGTTTGCACCGGTTATTTAGAGAGGCAGGCCTGTTATGCCTCTCTTGGGGCGACCCATGCCCGGGGTGCCTGAGCACCTCGTCAAGAGCGCCTAAGGAGGCGTACCTCCTTACTGAGCCCTGGTGGAGGGCTCGCATCTCTTCTGAAATGCGTGAAGGGATTGCTACTTTGCAATCCCTTTACGAGCGCGCTGGGCGCTCGTTTTCCGATGGCCCTTCACCATCGGGTGCCCCTTGTCGTACTGTTCGACAAGGCCGGGAACGTCGGCCATCAGTTGGGCCCGAGGTTCCCAGCTATCCGCCGAAGGCGAATAGCCACGCCACCGGACGAGATAACTCGTCCGACGTCCCTTCTGTTGTCAATATGACTCCTCGACCAGCTGCGATACTATCGTCATTCCAGTGATTGGATGCAGTTGAAGTTCGGTGATTGGATGCAGTTGAAGTTTGGATCAAGTAGAGTGTATCCAGAGGGTAAACATTAGGCTTAGAGTAGCGTAAGCGAACTAAGGACCAAATGAATCACTTTGCGTTTTGCATTAAAACAATCAAGCACTTCCAACCTATCCAAGATCTATAGGTTATGAGCCCAAGCCCCGCCACCTCAACCTCTGCTGCCGACTACGCGTTCGCTATGGAGCACTCGTCGCTGAATCGCATCAACAAGTTTGATGGAACCAACTTCCACGCCTGGAAGTTCAAGATGCAGATGGTGCTCGAGGAGCGTGACCTGTGGGAGGTCGTCTCTGGGGAAGTGAAGATTGGTGACTTGGCGAACACGATGGACCAAGCGTCGTTCAAGAGGAAGTCTCGCAAGGCCATGGCAGCTATCTGCTTGGCTATGGAAGATTCGCAACTGCCGCTCGTCCGCTCTGCAAGTGATGCGCATAATGCATGGTCAAGACTTGAAGACCACTTCGAGAAGAAGAGCTTGGCGAATAAGCTCTTCCTTCGTCGTCGTCTCTTCACAGTCACGATGGAAGAAGGGGACGATGTGATGGAACACATCAATAAGGTAAAGACTCTGGCAGAGCAGCTCGAAGCAGTCGGCGCTCCGGTCAGTGCTGACGACCTGGTAATCACGCTGCTTGGAAGTCTCAGCGAATCGTACCAGTTCCTCATCACTGCGTTGGAATCGAGAGCTGATACGTTGACGTGGGAGCTAGTGTCGTCTAGGCTTCTTCATGAGAACATGAAACGCAAGGAACAAAGTGGTAGCGTCGACGGAGCTACCCATGGCCAAGCGTTTATGACAAGAGACAACAAGCGCAACAAAGGGCGACCGGTGAAGAAGACTGGGGCGTGCCATAATTGCGGCAAAATGGGTCATTGGATCGCGGAGTGTCCTTCGCGAGGCCAAGACAACACGGAACAATACCGATCGCATCGCGCCAACGTCGCTCAGAACGACAATGACGGCGACTATCTATTTTCGGTTAGCTGGAGTAAAAGCACCGACAACGCGGATGAAGTGTGGCTGGTCGACTCAGGAGCGACGCAGCACATGACGTGCTCCAAGAAGTTCATGACAAACTACAAGCTCTTCTCTCCAATTGACGTACACCTTGCAGACGATGGTGTCGTGCAAGCAATTGGATGTGGTGACATAATGATGTCAATGAAGACCCCGAAGGGTATCAAGAAGGGTGTACTGACGAAGGTGTGGCACATTCCCAAGCTATCCCGCAACCTTTTCTCGGTCGGTCGATTTACTAAGGACGTCGGTCCTGTAACATTCGACACGGATGGCTGTTTTGCCGAAGCGAATAGCATAAAGTGGAAGATCGGAGCTCGTGAGGGTAAAGGTCTCTTCAAGCTTCAAATGACGCCACTTCTGGGAGATGAAGCCAATGCAGCCAAGTCGTCGGGATGTTATGGGGACACCAAGTCGTACCTCTGGCACCTTCGACTTGGTCATTTGGGCCACGATGGACTTGATACCATCGTGAAGAAGAAACTTGGTGTTGGAATCAACATAACGTCTGTCGAAGACTGGGATGTTTGTGATGGGTGTTCGCTTGGTAAGCAAACACGCGTGCGTTTTCAATCGACAGCACCAAAACGCTCAACCAAGATTTTGGATGTCATTCACAGCGACGTCTGTGGACCTATGTCAAGATTAACTTTTAGTGGTAAACGATACTTCGTCACGTTCATTGACGACAAGTCAAGATACTGCGTGGTGTACCTTATGAAGAAGAAGTCCGAAGTGACCACCAAGTTTGCTGAGTTTGTTGATCTTGCCGAGACTCAAACTGGCAATCGCGTCAAGACGCTAATTTGTGACAACGGCGGCGAGTACACGGCTGGAGACATGGCGAAGTTTTGTACCAAGAACGGTATTGTTCGAAAGTACACGCCACCGTACACACCACAGCTGAATGGGGTCGCGGAGCGAATGAACCGGACGCTCGTGGAATGTGCTCGTTGCATGCTGGAGCACGCTGGATTACCCAAGAAATATTGGGGCGAAGCTGTGACGACGGCAATGTTTCTGCGAAACCGATGCCCAACAAGAGCCATAAGTGAAGAAAAGTCACCTTATGAGGTCTGGACGAAGAAGAAGCCTGTACTGACAAACCTCAAGGTATTTGGATGTCATGCGTACGTCCATATTCCGCACGAGAAACGCTCGAAATTAGATGCCAAGGCTTCACTATGCCGTTTTTTGGGCTACGCGGAGCATCTCAAGTCCTACCGCTTTGAGGACATATCAAGTGGGCGCGTCACCGTAAGTCGTGATGCGCAGTTTATGGAAGACGTCTTCGACGGTGGTAGATCTGTCCAAGAACAAGCGGTCACTGATCTCAACGAGGAATTGAGTACGGACCATGAAGATACGGATGACGCTATGAATGAAGATGAAGACGTTGAGAACGTCCAAACGACAGACTTCGCGCCTGGCGACAAAAGACATCCAAGAACACAATCTCTTGATCAAGCAACGGAAATTCCGAGTTCGAAGCGACAAAACATGTCGGCAATTGCTGAAGGAGATTTTGAGGCGGCATTCGTTGTGGATTCAGTGGGAGAAATGCCGACCACGCACAGGTCGGCGATGGAATCCATCAACTCTGTGAAATGGGAAGAAGCGTGCGACTCCGAAATCAACTCGCTGCTCAAGAACAAGACATGGGATCTTGTTCAGCTTCCCAAAGGTCGCAAAGCAATCGGCTGCAGATGGGTATTTCGTGTCAAAGAAAACAAGGATGGACAAATTGAGCGGTTCAAGGCACGCCTGGTTGCAAAAGGATTCTCGCAAAAGTTCGGTATTGACTATGAAGAAACATTCGCGCCTGTGGCAAAGTTCACGTCAATCCGAATCGTGCTAAGTCTTGCGGCGAAGTATGATCTTACCGTGCACCAGATGGACGTCAAGACTGCTTTTCTCAATGGTGAGCTGGACGAAGACATTTAC